AAATATTTCTATGGGTATATAACATTGCTGGTATTGTTTTCAGATGAACTTTTTCAAGTATTCTAATTTGATTTATTGGATATGAGCCAGAATACATAAGTTGTATATTATCTAGTTTGATTTGCACCCAATTATAAAATTTTCGTCAGATTAATTTACCTAATTCTGCCGATTTTTTCCTTGTAATATCTTTTCAAATCTGCTGTGTATTAGTGTAATTCATTATTCCCAATACTCTGCGGGAATTATTTTTTATCCAGAATATTTAATGTAATCGGAATTAGTCTAAGAGGAAAATGTCATCAATCAATATATCTCAAAGGAGATTAAATTTTAGAATGCCAAAATGTGAAAAAATGTTTTTTTTACTCTTCACAATAATTTATGACCATAGTGAATGTAATACTAATGTTGTCCACAACAGTAACAGTGTCAGTCCACAGTTAGTGGGATGATACGCAAAAGTACACAATATGATAATTGATGCTGGAGCACTTTACTGTACTACTTTCTGATATATATTTGGATATCCATTTTTTAAATCAGTGTTGAGAAAATTAAAGTATTTGCGAAATGTCTTCTTGTCATTTACTTAGAATTGCGAAATCTAATCGGCAGCAAATGACTCAATAATGAGTAATCGAAATATTTCATCACATATAAAATTTGTATTTTTATTTAACGTGGTATGTGAATGAATAATATTATGTCAGATCACTCACAATATCTTGAGGTTTCGCAGTTCACCCTTACACATATTTTAGAGCAGTAATACTTTCTTTTAAAATATCAATAATGAATTGAGCTGTCTGAGCATACTCCTTTGAAAATATGCTTGTTTTTTCGGCAGCCCAACCATATAGTTCATGGCTTTTAAGTAAAAATTGGACGGTACTAAAATTTGTAATAATGACCTATTTGGACCTCATTGGAAGGAACTTGACTAAAGTCACAAAAAAAAATGATTAAACTTCATTGCATTGTAACAGTAGCCACTGGAATCATCATTATTCTGACGTCGTTCAGGCTTTACGATGTATTTTACTGGTTATTAATGCGAGCAACAATAAAATTTGGTCGGCCTTATGTTTTGACACAAAACCGCTCGCCGTTCCGAGTGGCTGCTTCGTTACACACAATATTTTTGTGAATGAATCAGACCGAAGAAGAACGCTCTCGTATTCTCTCCGCGAATCGGAATGTATGATCAAAATCGTGCATAAAAGAACGCCTGGGCGATGTCTATTTGTTTTGTATCGGAAATGGTCCGACATTTTTTCTAAACGCGACATCCACTCTCCTTCAGCCACCGCTCGGTCGCCGCCTGTTAATAAGGGACGAACCCGCATCCTGCGTTGTGGTATTTGGAATATATTAGGCTTCCTCGATTTTGCTAAGGCATGTGTTAGTATAGCGGAAAGCCTGCCTATTTTACAATTGCCTAGGGAAGCTCTGTATTGCCGTAATGTACCACCTCGTAAAGTATTTATTAATTATAATTATTTCCTTGAAACTTTGCGGGTCTTGGAATCGATCGTATGCTCCCATAGAGTGGGGAACTGTTAATTTCTCAGGTTTTTAAGCAGAAAACAGTACTTTAATTTAAAAATGTTTACCAGAAGTTTATATAAAGTTGGAAATTGTAGCTTTTTTATTCCTTTGTTGGTATGCCACGACTGTCTGTCACCCAACAGGCTTGCCGTGTGACAGATTAGGCAAGCGATGCAGCATTGTCATTATATTTTCAAATTGGTATGTTCTGAGTTGATTATATGCCAATAGCTTGCGTTTCGCCCTTTACCGTGGTGCTTAGTGTTATCTCTGTCTATGACTTACGTCGTTACATTTTCTGCTGGTTAATTCTTCATACCGCAGCTATCTTATAGGATTCACAAAATAATTATCATGCGCGCAGCACACACCTAATATATTCTATTACTTTTTCGTACTGCAAGGACAGGATGTTTATACTGTTAAAATATAAACATAATCGGCTTTTATTGTATCTTTTTCTCATCTAAAATGGGTTTATCAACGTTGTTATTGACCTACTCAATCTTGTTTTTGTTACCGTATCGTTTTTCAGCACTTGGTCTTCGAATTTAAGTCGTAGTGCTTACTTGTTTTGAGTTAAAATGTGAAAGGTCGAGTGGAACGAATCAAGCTTACTTCCTAACGAATTGAATTTCATATATCATAAGTTGAAGTCTGTACAAACCATGTAAGTTGTTGCCCGGGGGGATCCTATATGACTGTTACAATATTTCAGCCAAATCAAAATGGCGAATTTGTGGCAAGATCGTAGGCCCCAATTGCCTCTCGTTCGCTTGTGATACAGTGCTCGTCGCAACTTTTGCTAAATGTAGATTTTTGAGTTGGCGCTCAATTATCCTATAATTTTCTATGTACCGGTACTTAACAAATAAACAAATCTAGATTGCCTGACGTAAGGTACCTTTTCGATACACTGATTCGGACCTTTCCGATTACCCTAAAATTGTGAGATTTGCTTCATTTCATTATATATTTTATTGAAATGCCTTAGGAATTTGTTGTTAAGTCTTGTGTTTACGCTACTCGTCATTCCGTAGATATTTTGATCGCTGTGACTGTGAGTTGTTTCCCCAATGAAATTTTTAAAGTGGCAGTACGTCATGCCCATGAAAAATCACCATACTTCGTTTATTGTTAAGGTACAATTTATCATGAAGTCATATATGGTCGAAATAAAATATCAATACTATTATTCTATGTACTAATATAAATTTCTGTTTGTGAATGAAAAGATAAGTGCGTGTGAATACGTGTGTGTGTGTGTGCGCGAGTAAACGAACTGCACGCGAGGGCGATCGTCATCGAACGGATGGTATTCAGCCGAGGAAATGCCTTTGCTCAGTCAAGCAGTTGTTTGCCTAAGTTTTATCGTATATGTCGCACGAGACCGTTAAATAAATTTTAGGTTTGATACTAAATACATAAAACGTCCTGGTGTTTTTGGTGATATTTGCCTATTTCATTGAAAAAAAAAACTGGAACTTTATTTCTCATGTTAGTCATAGTTTATATAATACATGTTTTCTAATATCAATAATTTAGAGTTTTTTTTAAACTGAAATTCGACGCTAATTACAGTCCAGTACCTTTTTAATGTTTAATTTACATACACATTCAGACTAATTCACCTTCCTTTCTAATTGGCTTCTTCCTATTGTCAGTCCGTCTGCGGCAGAATGTACACAATAGCATTAGACACGGGTTGCCTTTCTCCTTTCTCGAAACGCCTTATCTAATACCTATTATACCAATCATCCTCGCGTTATTATCATAGGAAGTTTCTTTATATAGGTTGATTATATCGTATAGCAGACTGATTATCTCTTGGTGAGAAAACAGGATAATAGTTCGAAAGACAATAGGAAAACCATGCAGTGACAAAATTTGGTCAGAACTCGGAACCTCACATTTACAGGCTTTTAAAGTCTAACGTATAAAAGAGTACGGTAAAGATATTAGCTGCTAAAATGTTAGGCAGATTAATTGTTAGATTGAAATTGACTATATCTGGTATGCCTTTTAGAACGTTATGCATATTCAAGATTTTTATTAAATACAGAACAAGCCTTTTTAGATTCTCCGGTTACGCTAGGTTTTAATACTCCTTCCATGTGTTCCACTACATATTCCGTAAAATTGTCATCATTCAGTATTTATCAGGTAAAGAAATCGCAATTTTATTATAATTTAATCGTTCGACTGAATCGCAACCTCGACAGTGTGGTTAGCATTCGCAAGTCGCATTTTTTCTGAGCGATATTTTAAGCTTAAACGGCGTTCAATTTAGTTTTCTAAAGGAACTAATAAAACTAACTTCGTTTTATTTCGTTTGCATGATACGGAATGTGTGATCATTATAGTCAAAATAAAATACAACCCGGGATTTGAATCTTCCGTGCTTAGATGGACCTTTTGAGCTATGCAATGCAACATTTTTATGTATATGAATGTCTTTAAATTGTTATAATATAACAGTTGTTCGCGTTTGAATATGCTCATAATCAGTAACATTTCTCAAATTCTTTGCAAATGTTCTTTATTTATCGGAGAATACCTACGTTGCTGACACTGTTCAATATCGCCTTCTTATTGAAGCACTCTAGGCCTAGTCATGCCTGGTATTATCCAATGGTTTCTAAATGTTACTTGTGAACGGAGATGTGAGAATCGATTCCACCACGCAGGAGTCAATCAAATATGGAAATATTTATTCGAAAATTTTAAACAAAACGTTTTATGTGAAAACATCAGTATCGGTGAAAATACCACTGCCAAAGACAATTATTCAAGGGTATCTCCATAAAAAAAAAATTTATGAACTTGTCAAAATGTCAAAATATATTCAATTTTTTTAGAATGATAATCGAAATGTTTCATTTGGAACATACTTATCGAAAGAAGATAATCTCCACGGTTACTTATGAGTATAATTCACGGCAACGGATTTAAATTCTTGGTTCCATTAAAATGTGATCTCAATTTTGAATCAGAGGATAAGACAGTGCATGAGAATCATCGCGTCTTTTCACCATTTATTGGTACTTTGCGATAAATTTATCGGATTGTTTCAGCCGTGTGACGTCATTTTGAGACTGGACAAAGCTCGCAAATCATATTGATTTAGAAAGATGTGTTTGATTCAATTTTTTATAGCAGACGCAAGTTAGGCCAGTGTTGCGTGCTGTATTTTATTAAATTTGGGTACTTTCACGACGTGTCTCATTTTTTGTTGGCTGTAGATGTTTTCTTAAAGGCGCATGGGAGGCAGCGGAAATGATTTAATTAGATTGTATTTGCGTTGTGAGAAACGGAGATCCATCTGATAGCGTGACGGCAACAATGGCAAAAGGCTGAGAATCGCTGCTTTATGTTGTGTAGCATCGGTACTGATACAGTCGCACTAAATTCGCACTAATTCGCAATTTAGTCGCACTAAATCCCTGATTGGGACGTGTTTTATGTGACAATATGGTTATTGTAAAATAAGATAAGGTGTGTGATAATTTTAAACTGCCGACAACTTTGGCGACCCCTTTTTATAATTTGTTATCTTTCATGTCAATGTTACTGTTATATTGAAATGACTGAGAAATGAAAAAATAAGTCAAAATCAACGTTTTATAAGTGATTCCTCAACTGTATATCCATATAAGATGTACCGACCGATATATTATCGCCCAACAAACTGCACACTGTTGGCCAAAACCAAAACTTGCTTCGCCATATGACTGTGTAAAATCAATTCTCATGGCAAACCTTGGTACCAAATTTTCCTTATTCGCACCTCAACTTAAGATGATATATGAATATTTGGAATCTAATATTTTATTCCTTTACTATGGGTCTTTGATTTTGTATATGTCGGTGTCGTATTTGAGGTGAGGCATCTGTTTATATGCTATGTTTTGTAAAGGGTGTTGACTCAGCCCTCAGTTATTCCGCATGCTGCTGCACATAACGGGGGTCCGTACGGTTTACCCGACTTATTCGGTAACTAAACTTTCATAAATCAGTTTTCAAAGTCAACGTAGCCATTCTCAAAACTATTTTTTAAGCGGGAATTAGGTTCACGCCAAGTGCAACTCATCAATTTTTTAACGATTTTCAAAATGACATGTACTAACGCTAAATAATCTTTCGCCATTTTCTTTTTGTGTTAGAACTTAACGCAAATTTAACTCCACTCCAACAACATCAGCGTGAAAATCGGACTTCAATTTTTCATCGAATAAAAATTCAAAGAAAAGTTGCATATACAACGAACGGACTACCACAGTCATTTGGGATTTATCAGGAATTACTTTCACCATCCGTTTTCGTCCATCCTCTCATGTAGCGGATCATTAGTATTCATGTGGACCATCACGGGAGAAAGTATCTCTTAATTTCATAAGACCTTTTTCTCTCGTTGTCCGGAAACGCTCATTCACATGCAACCACGTTTGTTCGTTTTACTGTAGTCGTATTCAACCGACGAACTGCATTAGCAACTGTGTCATGAATCTATTGCCGTTGCTGCCATGGAAAGAAAGAAAGAAGCCGATTTATGTCGCATCGATTGGTGGTGAGTTTTATTAACTTAATTTGAAATATCATTGTATTTTCTAGTACGGTATGCGGATTCACTGGGATTTGATACCACGCAATATTTCAATGATTTGATTAAACTAAAAAATAAATTTATATTTATAAGTAGTACCATTACTGTAATGACAGCAGCAGCGCTGGGACTAGCATTGGCAAACTTGGTAAAATTGGCCTTACACCCGAAGTGTTGCAGCCAAATTTCAGCTTTATTTCGGATGCGGATTTCAACTTTACAAACGTTTTTCAATCGATCATAAAATTTTTTTTATATTTTTATGACATGAAATAGTTTCAATAAGTCCCATGTAGGGTTTATATTACGCAATTCGCTCTGAGTTAGATCTATCTTTTGGTTCCGAGGTAATGTATCACTCATTAAATGATTCATCAAATTTGACAATTAAAACAGTGTCTATTTGTTACATTCTGGTTAATTTTCAATTATTAATAACCGTATACTGTTATTCGCTAAATTATGTTTTCTCGATTAAACTTTTGAACAAAGGAACGCATCCGTTATTAAGAATTCGCCATGTCACGTTTTTTTGATCAAGCAATAAACAGGTCATTTTAAAATTTTGAAAACGGAAGTTGCCCACTCTTAGACTAACAAAGGTTGTGTGATTAGCTGTTATTCTTTGACGTTGATATAAATCATTAACTCACACGCCCTCATCTCCGTGGTTAACGCCATTTTCCTCCCACAATATATGGCCAAGGATGGATAGCGCTTGGGGATGCTCTCCATCCGCCATGATGTAACAATTCCAGGTCAATAAAATAGTGATTAAATAGATCAACTATTTAAGACAAATTCAATCGTCATTTCTTTGTTTTATTTTTTTTTCTCATCTATGCTCACTTTGCGGTCTTGTGCGTGCGATGTTGAATGAATCAACGTGCACTTTTGAAGGGAAGGTGTTACTTACTATAAAATACAAAATTCGTTGCATTGGTGTACTTTTCCAGAGGAATTACGAAAAAGCGTGATTACAGCGAAAAATATTTGCAACCACGTTCTCTAGTCGATTACTTTACCGATCTTATGCCAGATTCTGCTATTCTGGACTTCTCCACTTTCTCCGCCTAGAATAGTATTCCTGAAATTGTTTTACTCCGGATGTCTCTGTCAGCTCTTCTTATGCAACCGCATTGATCTGAAATACACTCTAGTCCTGTTGCATTTGCTATACGCTTAGTCGACGGCGACGGGACTTTGATAAATATTTGATAGCTTATTTCTAACTTTTAGATTACCGGTTCTAAACTTCGTCCTGAGTCAATACTTCTTCTAAGCATACGAATGCGACCTCGCTTCGACAGAACTTTCACTAAGAAATGATTAACCCTCATTTTTTGTACAAATGCAACAGAGAAATTGACCCCAACGACTTAGTTAACAATACTATAATATCGATTTCTTTGTTACCTTGAAATACTGTTCAAACAGTTGTCAAGTTGACCTGTTGCTTCATACTATATGACATTTTTGTTTGAAGTTTTGTGTTTTCTGTTTTTTCTAAAACAAGTTATGCAATATTTATTTCTCTTCGATTTATCGCAGTAAACTTCAGGTCCATCATTCAAGTGTTGTACACCAACGTATTGCAATTACAACATATAATCCCGCTTTGTGTCGTTTCTCATCACAATATAAAAAAAATAATTATTGTATATATGTTAGTTATGTATAGAATTATGCAACTTTGCATATTTTTAACATTTCTTTTTTGTATTTCCATTCTGTCGTATAATGACTTCGCGACTAATTTAATTTAAAAATATCTAAAATTGCATAATTTCCGTCCAATGCTTATACCACTTCCGTTTTGGTTTTGATGGTTAATACCATTTTTGAAAACCCTCACATTATATACATTTTATAACTCAATTCCATTCATTACATTTTTGTTCATATTTCATGTTATATAATGTAAGGCTTTCCAGGCCGGGAGGGTTTCCGCCCAATGGTCTCATTTAATTGATTTTGAGGAGGATAATTTACTTTGTGTATATCTAATGTTCCCCTGAATATAGAACACTAAACGGAAACAGTTTTATCGTTGTTGAGGGAGGATTGAAAAGATCCCCAAATAAGCAATGGGAGGTATATATTGGAAAAGGTTGAGAACCACTGTTATAATATTGCTACATTGCCACTATGTTGCGCTATGCGTTATTAAAATGCCCTAATCTTGTATTTGTCGGCTTATTGAAATACGTTTTCATCCTATATTAGATTTCGAATTTTAACAAAATTATGACTTAAATTACAAACAATAATTTTGTTACCCTGGCGGCTTGTCTGCTAAATATCTATTGTATGAATGAATTTTGTTTAGTTACATTTCCGATTTAAGTCTGATTGATATGACTTGTGTGTGAACGTGGGACCTATTGGCGAGCCCTGAATAAAACATCAATCTGATTCACCCCCTTAACCGCTAGTTGACAACCTTTCGGGTGCATCGGACCATTCAGACGTGCTCATGTTTCTTAAGCTGTGCAACTGATATTCTATACCAGTGGAAAAATAACTTATTCGGAACGCTGGTTTAACGACGATGTCAACTGCAAGGTTTTGAGACTTCCTTTACCTTCTGTTACGCCTTGTGCTTGTCAATGATATTTACGATTTCCTTCTTTGGACATAAAAGGGGAATTTTGTTCCTGTTAAAATTCATGTCATTCGGCTTTGGGGCATTTATATCTCAAGCAGTTTTAATTATATCACAACTGCTAATACTCGATATGAGTCGCCTATAATAATAAAATAATGTTGGCTCGGAACCGTGCTTCTATGTCTATGACGTCGTTCTATTTTTTGAACAAAGTTTATTTGCAGTGTTTTGGGTATATCAAGAAAGTTTCTTGCAACCACCAAACTGTGGCTTATCGAGTTACCCATGTTACTCCTACATAGTGACTTAGTGTTGCCGAGGTTATGGCTCAAATATTTTCGAAAATATCCAAAATTGTCATTATGTCATGTATTATTTGTGAGCGTATTTCTCCTTCGTATTAATAGAATAATTAAAATTAAAAATTTAGACTTCAACGTAGACCTTGTTTCTTAATATATTCTGACAACCAGAAATAAGCCGAGTTGCTTTGCTGGAATTACAAACACGTAACCAGGTAATTGGCTGACAAATTTGTAGAAAGAACTTCGCGTATTATTCTCATTAAAAGTCTGCGAAAATTGACGCCCACGCGCTCTTGAATTTGGAAAATATAATTATGATCGTCGTTCACCTCACACTTCAACAAAAAGGGCGTAACAAATTTCGTCGACAATTCATACAAAAATTTATTCGGGTTGTCGAACTTTCGTTTTAGGTATTGTTCATTGCAATACAAGTGAGTTTCGAATTTACTTGAAGGACATCCTCGTGCTTAATGCCGCTCTTCTCACAAATCTGCCGCGCAACAGCGATACTCGCATATGACACTATCGCATTTCATCTTGAAAGACAAGAAAAATCTTAAAAAACAATAAAATGCAATCTGATTCTGGCGGAACTGTGTAATGATATGGTATAAATTCTAACGTAGAACGAGCGAATGATATTCAACTTCAATAAAATATTTCACGTTTTTTTTTGTAAGAAAGACAAGTTGTGTGCACTGAAATAAAGTGCATTGCAACACTGTAACTGAATATTTAAAAACAACCCACTTCAAATAGTGAAAGATGCTCAGTATCGGCGTAGTTAGTGGGATTCATTGCTCCAATTTTTATCATCACTGTATTAAAATTAGCAATTGACACTCCAATTTTGTATTTGAAAAAATTGATGTTTCCGGAAACTATTATTTCAAACGATCGGCGCCGTTATGTATTTTATCACTGAAACATATCCAGTGCAAATAGAATGGACATGCAAGCCAATATGGCAGTTAGTTGGGAATCGCCTATCGCTTACGTTTTATTTCTGTTATCTTATATTCCTTCGGCAAAATGCACGAATTAACTAAATAGCAAAACAAACAGACTATATTATATGTATTAAACTGCTGTTAAATGTGACTAATCTGTTTTCGCATTTCATTCTAGCGACAGACCAATCGTCAGAGTACTTGGTACAGTTATGACGAGAGACGACACGTTGGGCGGGTGGGTTCCATATTTGAATGGTGGTCAGAGTAAAGTAGGAATTCATGAAAGTGTAGACGGAAGAAGATATCGAATCTATGGATGGAGGGTCAACGATAAGAAGGTTTGTAACGTACTCACTTTTTTACCTTTTATCTCCCTTACTTTTTAATGATTTTTAATTATTTTTCTTTATTACGGCTCTTGTACCGCTCGACTTATGAGTAACAGGAAATGTATTAAATTATCTCCAAATATCAGATAACCTTCTATTTTCATGGAAGAGAGTTGCCAAAAGACGCTAACTGTAAGTTTTTCCGACATGGATATCTCAAAAAAAGGGAATTTTCGCCTTGGCTAAAGACGTTTTCCTGTTTTTGAAGAGTTCTGTTGTTTCAGAGAGAATCGATCAATAATCAATATTCCATTTAAATCAAATTTACCAAAGGTTCCATAAACTAAAGTCCAATGCAATTTTTAGAGCAACATGATCCAAATTTTTATAAGTACCGGAATTGTTTCAAATGTCAAAACTTGAAGTTCATTACAGAGTTTTTGCATTATGTTGATTGTATTATGACTCCACATTCTCTATTCACATCGGAAATAGGCATTTACGGCCGGGTAGTGCACTGCCGCAATTCTATACTGTTTCAGTAGCTCATTCTGTCTGTCAGTCGCCTGTGACTTTTATCAGAGATGAGTTTATTTTACTTGTGAGTCAATTTTAATTAAATTGAAATATTACACCCTGAGCAGGATGTTTCTATCTGAGTGAGTGTGTGCGGCCTTGCAACGAACAAATTTTCTTAGAAGAAAAAACATGTTATAAATTGAAATACGGACAGGATCTGAGTGAATGTACGTGGCCTCGATTTGAGCATATTCTCTAAGAAAAATAATGAATTTTGATTTGAAACATTACACCGTTAGCAGGATGTTTGTATCTGAGTAAATGCGCGTGACCGTGATTTGAGCAAATTTCTCAAACTAATCAATTTGAATTGAAACAAACACACTGAGCAGGATGTTCTTATCGGAGTGAGTGTGTGTGGCCTCGCATTGAACAAATTTTCTCAGAAGAAAAATCTATTTTGAATTGAAACATTACACCGTGAGCAGGATGTTTGTATCTGAGTGAGTGCACCTTGCTCACAGCAAATTTAAAAAATAATGTATTTCAAACAAGCAGAAGAGTCCCCTGAGTGAATGCGCGTGACCTTGTTTTAAGCTAATTTTCCTAAAAACAAGTCAATTTTAAATTGAAACAAACACCCTGAGCCGGATGTTTCTTCTTTCGACAGAATTGTGAATTAGGATTTCTGACAAATCAATCATAAATTGTACTGAACTACGATCATGAACAGCTCTGTGGAAAAATTGTTATTTTTAATCTTTTTCAATAACCAGCGACCCAGATCGATTTGTTGACCAAAGATTTTCAAAACGAAATCTCGCGCAAAATTTTAATTATTTTACAACATTTCTAGATCCTTGACGGCCGTTGCTCTAGCTTGTTTTTGATACTATAGTTTTATATCTCGTTGGCTTGCATGTTAGGCCATGCATAATTCGCTCTTAACAAGTCTTTCTTATTAGTTAAGCCCCTGTTGAAAGATATATCTCTGTTCCTTAGACTTGTATTTGTTTGTTTATAATATCCCTGTCACCTTCAAATGAACTTAATTCATTTTGTCGTTATTCAATCATCAGGTTTTCATTCCAGTGCGCCTTAGAAGTATATGAAAGGTTCTGTAAGCCGGTTTTACGATATTGCTCAATGTACTCCGGCAGTGTTCCCCTAATTTAATTAGAAACGTTACAATCTTGAACTCTACTCAAACTCTTTGAAAACAAAGGATAAAAAGTAAGATTGCTAAGTGAGATCATAGAATTTTGATTCGGCCTGATGCTGCCAAGACGGCCCGCACTTCCACAGGAAGAAATTAACGTTGGGAACACTGAGCCAGTTCGTTAACGTGTTATTAGGTATTTCCTGTTTGTGTTATTTGAATAGGCGACTTTCCTTTGCTGTACAACATAAATTGAGTTCGTAGGGATGACTCACCACGAAGCGGTAGTAATATTCCCAGAATAATATAATGGAATGCCGTAAATTCACAGGTAGACCACATATAAATGGTATTTTTATCTCTTCATTTGGTTCGACGGCATAGGAAATTCGATTTTTTTAATTTTGTTGAAAATGTCATACTAATCCCTAATAATTGGATACTCCTCTAAAAACAGAATAAACTTATTTATTTCTACGAAAATGGAGAAAATTTATTGAACACTTGAACTTCTGTTTGTGTATGATTGTACTCAAAAGTTTCAATAATCTTGAGCGGTTTGCACCATAAAAGTTATGTTCTCACTTGAATACGTTTCATGCGTCCTGTTTTTTGGAGTCACTCTGTACTGCTGGCCAACATATCAAACTTGGAAAATTCTCGTCTAATCTTTTTGCCCTTAAATGATATTCAGGATGACAAAGAATAGTTCTGTGATCATTACGGTTTCTGTCGTTTCAGATACGAAATATGTAGGTTCCGTAATTTGGAAAAAAAAATTTGCTGATACTATTTCCCGAAATTAAAGTTTGATTACTTTCTGATAACATGGATAGATCACCATCTGAATAAAAATTTGCCCCAAATATTGCTCATTATCTGACGAAAATTTTCTATTCCGACACGTATTATTAATGATGATAGCAGCATCAGTGAGACGGCGTGAATGAATTTGTGCTCTTATGCTAGTCTTACCAGTACCGATCTGAATTGCCGTGGGCTTGATATGCAACAGAGTTCCACGAAAGTCACATAGGTCACTCACAGTACTGCTGTTGGATACCGTCGTGTATCGTGTCCATATATTTGACCATTGCGCTCTTGTTTGCGCAATGGATGACAATAATAGATTATAAATTATGTTTATGCCTGCTCAAGCTACGTTGTACTGGTGCTGATTTTTTCGGCCTGAATGTATGTAGCATTTTATCCCTGAAATCTCTATCAGACTTTCTATCGAATTATTGGTCATTGCGGCGAATGAATTACCGTGAATATTTATCTGTAAACTTTGCGAAAAAATTTAAGAGGAAAATATCTTTACGTTTACTTTCTTTACAGGTGACATTGGATTGTTTCATTCAACGTCATATGGTGTTCCACGAAACAATCGGAACTTTTCATCATTGGAAGATTGGTGACAGTAAAATGGGGTTGACCTTTTATACTCCTGCGGAAGCAAGGTCATTCAATAGGGGAGTTCGAGTTGCACTAGAAAAGTTGGCAAGAGGTGAGTTCATTTTCCTTATTAAAGCGCCGCGGTGTCAGCGACGAATGACAAATAAGCTTTTGAAAGTCTTAGCGGTTTCTGGCGACTTACCAAATGGGAGATAGAATTGAGAGATGTAAGCCGACTCATGTATCAGATCTGAACGTGATAACTTTATTTTAAATAATTCACTACGAAAAACCTGTCCCATTAAATACCAAGCCCTCTTTAGAAATGAATGTATGCGACACTTTCATCTATTATCGTGAAAATACATACAATCATTCATTATAATTTATCACTATTTTGGGTTTGGATTCGCGAGGAATACAAAACGTCTTAGTCTTAGTGTGTGTATATAAGTAAATAATATTAGTAATATTAAACACAAATGCAAAGTATGCAAAATTAGTCTTGACTAGGTAGTTAACAGCTATAAGTCTGTCCAGACAGCTTTCCTATGATCAGCCGGATATCTCACGATACTTGTCACGCAATCGTTGTTTTATTTGTATCGCAATGACTTGTGTAATTATGAACTCCCTAGTTAATATTTCCACGCCATCGAGTCATAGATAAATATCATTCGACACTTATCTATGATTGTTTCCGCATTTCCGTCCAAACATGCAATTTACACTATCGATTGTTGTGTTCTCTCTTCTCAAGTGGCGGCTTGGTGTTGAAATCGCTCTGCATGTCGCGGACACTTTCTCATTACTCGTTTTGTGGACCAACTCGACTCGGGTTGGCGATGGTTTATCTGAATTATCGCGCGTCCTTCCGCTCTGGTTTTGTTTGCGGCGAAAGGCTGGATTAAGCCCAGAACGATTCTAGCTTAGAACGTGGTTTTTTCATTTATATATTCCATATTCACCGCAGTTACAATACTGCTGTCACGTGTTCGTAAACACTGTTTGTGAGTGTCCGTATTTAATCGAAAATGTCGGTGTTACGCAATATACCGCCATTTTAAACTTCCCTACTTTTTACTGAGTATAATTAACATAGCTTTTGACATAATGATACCAAGGAAAAAAAATTTCAAGGTCTGAAGCCATTAAAGCCACTTATTTGATTGATTATATCCCTTGGGCATAAAAGTATTCAAAATCGTGTATAAAAATGTAATCAGTTGACTTCCAAGCTATGCTTTTTTTTATTCATACTAACTATTACTAGATGTGGTGATATACACGAAAAGAATTATATGCGTTTGTGTCGCATACATCACTATACATACAGACAACTTCAAATTCCAAAGCAATTCGTTGAAATTTTCAATCCTGCGAAAGCCAGGGAGCCTAAATCTCAGTCCTTCACATTCCCGACAAAATATGGTGATTCTATTTGAGAATAACGTCATATTCAAATAGCAATATACGACGCCGTCTTGTCCCATCTGAGTTCATCGGCGCTCCCTCGCCAAGTTGTAGCGGTATTTACACCAGATCAAAATCTTTGATAAAAATAAGCTTGTATTGGTTGTTATCGTTCATTGGTTGATGATAATACAGGGGAAGGCTCGCCGCAGCAGTGCAAAAAAATTATTGTTTCATATCTTGAATTTTAATTTCATCAGCTTCCAAATCTAGAGCGAGCACTAATTGTAGCAGTCAGAAAAATACTTCGCGCGGTAAATTTTAGAAATCAAATTTTAAAATTCGTTCATCTGAATTGAGGGAAAATTTTATATTATTGACCCGTGGCTTGATCGAAAGATTTTGTAAATAATGATTCTAATAACATAAAAACAAAACTCAATAAACGAGAAAGCGATCGGAATTAACATTAATCATTTGGCGATATTAGCAATTGAGTTAAAATATTTACCCGGTAACATAATGTGAGCGATTTTATACCAGAATAATCACAATGAAAGTAATGTGTTTACTAAATGTACACAATAAAACGGTAATTTTCAGATCCTTTTAAAAATAATGGGCCGCTCCGTCTATCACTAGTGTAGATATTACTATTGAGTAAATAAAAAATATTTCCGGCTGCGTCGTTTTCATTACCTTGTCCGCGTCATGGCAATATAAAGTGATCGAGCTTTGGGAGTTTCGATTTGCTTGATCAAATGTTGACGTTGTAAAGTTCACCGGAGACTTGAAAAATATAATTTATTGTGCAAACTGGTATTGAGAAATGACCGATGAAAGCACTGGTAATACGCACTTTATTTTCGGCCGGTCAGGCCTTTTTTTTTCGAAAAACTCAATCATCAATTTTTATAATCACGAAAAATAGTTGATCGATAAACACTTACTATTGCAGTTTACATGTCATAGGAAGAAATCGACAACTTTAATGACACGCACTTCAAAATGCCTAATGACTCCCAACAGCTATATTTGAATGTTAAGTCCATGTTAAAAGTTCCTTCAAAATATGAATCAAACGTTTGTGCATAACATGTGAATCACACCGTTCAAAAAAACAAAACATCTTTGCCATTGCAAACGACCGTTACAACTTGTCAACTAATCAATTTAGAATGTTTTTAATGAAAAATAAAATACATTAACTCATTTATTTAGATTAAACCGGATGTTATCATATTTGTTTGAGGTCATTTGTCATGGAACATGAAATTGATTCAATCACTACTGAGATATGTTTTGTTATTACGAAAAAATATAACATTTGCATAAATTATGTCTGTAGTAGATTGGCACTGGTGATGTTTTTTTTCTAAAAACTTGTAATTTGCATTACAGCTGTTTCCAGGCAAGGAAATGGCTGTGCCAACTGCCAATACTGCAGTTAATTAACGTCCGAGTTTCATTCAAAGCTCATTACATTCTTTATGTAATCACAATGGTCGAATTAGAAATTGATCATCATTCATCAGTAATGTACTTGTATTGCTTTTAAATTTTAAGCATTAAATATTTCTTGTGATATCATCATGATATGACAATATAAAAACTAAATTTTTATTGACGAATATACAAATTGACTGTATTGACATTTGCATAGACTGTGCTCATGTATTGATAGAATAACTTTTCTTGAACTGTATGATATATTTGAGAAGACTAGAAATTATGACTACCATCAAATTATCCATCAACGAAAACTAAACTTTGAATAATCCTATATGGGTAAAAAAAACCTTAGTTTACAAAAATTAAACAATTATTTCTTATTGATAATGGCCTGCATGGTATAAATACACACAATTTGTTATACCCTAAATCAGTGGCGCAGCCAGGGGGGATCGGGGTCGAAACCCCCCTTTTGAATTTTTTTGAAAACTGAAAAAGTCGCCGATAACGCGTGCAATTGCCTTCTGCTAAAATCGCCGATTGTTTTCATCAGCGTGGCGTGTTATTTAGGCCGTAAACGCCCTAACGTTGGTGTTTATTCTCTCTCTAAATCACAAAATTGTGCCACGGTAACAATGATAAATATTTTCTTTTTGTTCTCGCACGGAATTGTGAAAAACTGAAAAAGTCGCCAATAACGCGTGCAATATTGCCTTCTGCTAAAATTGCCGATCGTTTTTATCAGCGTGTTATTTAGGCCGTAAACGCCTTTACATTGGTTAATTATTTTATTTTTGTACTTGCACGGAATTGTGAATTCGGTGAGATTATACGTTCATCGGCGGCGAGATTAATCTGAAGTATGTTCAATCAATTCAGTCAGTGTTAAAAGTACATCCCAAATTTGTCGAATACGCAAAATAGAAAAATACGTATCAAAACAATATATTATTGGGCAATTTACCACACATTTGTATGTCCGCGGCTTGTGTTGTTCCAGAGTGGCTTTTGTTTTGTTGACGCAACCGTAGGTTAAATTGAAGACAATTAAATTAATAAAGCAAGACATTTTAAATATGCCGGTATCGGTCATAAATTGATTACTTTGCACAAGAGGAAAATCATTTTTTGTTAAAAATGTCGGCGTCATCGCGGTGGCTATTATTGACGGCACTAGGAATTTCCGATTTCGAAACCCCCCCTTTTGTAAATCCTGGCTGCGCTTGCCCTAAATATTAATCGAATTAAATTTTTTTCAGTAGCTGAATACACAAACAGCAGTGCCAGTAGTACATGCAGTCGACTGTCTGATGATCATCAGTCGGTAAGTTGTTGTTCTTTCAAATAAATTTGTACCCTGGAACCTTATAGTTCAACTCCTTATTCTGTGCTCAACTCCTTTTCCCATTTTTTGATTTCTTCATTACCTCAATTGTGCATAACAACTCCGTTTCCGTTTGTTGTTCAATCTATAATGAATTATTAGGTAGTGTATGTACAACTCGCACTCTGGATTTTTACAGTTTGAATAGTTAGAGGTAAAATTTCACCCTTCACGGTTCACGGTTGTGAAGCGCTGAGAAGGTCAGTCTTTTTTTAATTGGTGATTTTTTTGGTTGACTATACCCATTTACTGACTTAGAACATTTTGAAATTACTTAAATGACGCTTGATATATAATATAACACATGAATGTAAGAGAAAGCTGGTAGTAATTTTGCGTTAACCGGTCCTTGGGCAATCCTGTCAAAATGTGTGTTGATGCTTTAAATTAAACTAGGAGTTTATTTTTTACTCAGTCTTGCACTTCATCTGCTTCATCCACTGGATCGTCATCACCGTGTGAAAAATCAAATTGTACAAGAACTTCTCGGACATCTTGTGAAAGTAAAAAGAAGTTGTCCACATCATCTAATTCTTCATCCTCATCGAGACACGGAAATCGTAAGCATTCTCCGAGTGTAAAACAAGGGAGATCACGCCGTGCCACTCATAATTCAACATCATCAAATACCTCCACACAGGTAGAATAATATCAGTAATCTTTTTCTTTATTGGCATACCTTTTTTTGAGAAATTTAGTTTATTTTCTGATTAAATACAGTTCGTCTAGAATATTACTCAAAGCAGCACTATAAGAGAGGAGAAAAGCTCGTTTAAACGCGAATCTGCATGAAAACACCGAAATACTAAGATATGCAGTTAAATTCCTGCTTGTGAAAACAGGCAGCATGAAACTCAAACCGATTTACGTCAACATGACCAGGAAACAATTCTCGAAAGTGAATTCAATAAAGCATTAGTTCGAAGGAACCCATAGCCATAGCCAAAGTTACTATAATAACCCTACCACAGGAATTAAGCACCCAAGAGAACATAAATTATGACCGCTACACATTCACAGCTTGTTGGTTAGGATCAGTCTCCTGTAACTGATGACATCACTGATCGTGCTCAGCCATCTGGGAAAAGACTAGTTGCCACAAAATGACAGTTATACTCATACTATAAACCAGGGTTTTGCAACATTTTTGTCGGTGGGCCAGATAACCAGCTTCAGGCATCTAGTCGGGCCACACAAACACTCAAGTTATTTCATGCATGCAACGAATTAAGCAATAACTCTTACAATGCCAAATATTATTTATTCACAATTTTAGTGGAACATTTTAAATTTTGAGTTCTTACATGATTTGTTATCGACATCAGCTTGGCAGAAGCTGTAGCATGCCAGAGCGACAAGAGCAAAAAAACATTTTATTTTCTTACCCATGTGAGCACCTTTTTAAACATAAACTGTGGGATTAGATAGGATAATCTGAGTGTTGACAAGGGCCCACACTAAATGGCTTGGCGTTTAGTTCGCGGGCGGCCTGTTGCACACCCCCTACTATAAGCAAATTAGAATTTTTTTATATTTGAAGTATTTATACACCTTCGCTAAAAATAAGCGAATAATGTGATAACATGACTGTTATTCCAAATGCTTTGACCATTAGGCTATTAATATTATGCCCACTAAGCTTACTATAAATATTTCTCAATTTCAGAATCGTGCCATCCATACCCACCATATACCGTCAGTACCAGCCGTAGCTGCAACTCCAGCGTTGTCTTTATTGTCATTTTGTGACACCCCGTCTCCAGTTGATCTAGGACAGCCGCATTTCAGATATCCACTTCCTCAACAGCAGCCATACAAACCGAACCTGACATTTTTAAACAGGATTATTGCGAAGGATAGCTCGCATTTTGAGCTTTCTGCTCTCTCTCATTCATCACCTCAAACACCATCGAATACAATGTGCAAGGAACCTGAAGTGCCAACTATGCCGCCAAAATTGGTAAATAAATCATTTATTTGTTATTGTTCGGGGAAACACAAATTAGTTTTTTCAAGTAATATAAATTAGTAGAATTTTATGTTCTGAAACTTTGAATCTATTTGTCTAAAGATTTTGACTTGCGGGCATAGGATTTTAGTTTAAAGTGCTTGATCATTTAGGGGCGCTCCAGAAGTGTGTGTACCTATATAATGGTAACTAATTTTGTTCTCCTGATTTACATCAAGTTGTGTAAAGGGACTGAAACTTATGGGCAGGAGGTATATCCACTTTGCTAACACAGACAGTCCCCGAACTCGTAATAGAACTAAAATGAGGAAAATCTGAATAAAACTATGGCCTAACCCTAACCTGGTAGACACACTACGGGAGTACCCATTTAGGTATTTGAAAAATTTGATTGTGTTTGATAGATATTTCCTTATGGTTATTTACTCACCCTTTTTTGACTCTTAAAATTCTGACATATTGTACCAAATACATGATTGTCAAAATCATTAAATTGTTCAAAATTGTAAATCATATTAGATATGTATTAATGCGAGACTTCCTGATTTCCATATTTGTGTTTGCATTTCTGTTTTTTGTTTTTATTTTGTACTATTTTCCTTAACGCAAGATAGATGTTAATGTTCCATTATAACATCTTTTGAAGAATTTAATTTTATATTTGCTGCAAGAATTAAAATAGAGCCTTAAACCTGTTATGAAAATAAAAGCAAGCAAGAGTAGTTGCACTGTTTTCGCTTTACCACCAATAACCTTTTTGATGTCGCTCAACAATTAAAAACTGAGCAGCTGATGCATTTTTTGTGTGCTCTTGCCTTTCTTTTTATCTGAGTCCTCATCTTAAGAATTGGTCTTATAAAGCAAACCTTTTAATTTAGGTACATCGGTTTGGAAATGAAGAATGTGATCCTGTTGATGACCAAAGTAAGAATAACGAGAAGGCGATCTCATCAATACATTCTCCTCCAAGTCTGAACAATCAACCTCACCAGCATGAGTCTTCTCGTTCACGAAACAGACGAGTGCCTTCAAATGAAGGCCGCCAAAGGGCACACCATTATGGCAGACCCCGGCACACAAAAACGCCTTATCTGGACAATGCCAATCGCTTGCGGGACTTGAAACCAACAGAGCCTAATTCCTATGTGCTTTTTTCTTCTTCTAAACCTGCCACTTCCCACAGTTCACAGCATATTACAGGTAGAAGTCTCACCACAATCGGTGCATCTTTGCCTGGTATACGTCCAGAGTACAAGGCTTTGGGACAAATGACTTTAGTTGATGGTTTTCAGTATCACCCAATTCTTTCACCGGCAACTACCAGTCCACAATTTCAGCATCCGCAAACAGGTGCACTTTCTATTATGGCATCTACAATGGATGAGGCGCCATTTTATAATCGTACTGATATGTATTTCACCTCGAACATTGACAGCATAAAAGACGATGCCATTATTTATGAGCCAGGCAGTAGTCTGATTTCCAGCCCAAATAAGTCTAAAATTAAAGACTGTTATTATGATGAAAGCATGAGTGATTTTCAACCACACTCTAGCTGTTCTCTGTGCTGTTGTCCTGGTATAAAATTGAGACCAAGGCGACGTAGTAGTTCCAGTCATAATCGTATTAATGAAGACTTGGCAGAAAGATCGAGATGTACGCGCTGTCGAGAAATGTTTAATCATGAAAGCAACAAACCTGGATCGTGCAAGTACGCACCAGATAAATGCCTCGAAAACATTAATAAAGTCACTTGTATGTGCTGTGTGAGCTCTTTATTCTATCACTGTTGCCGTGATGATGAAGGCGATTATGACGAACAGCCATGCACATGCACTAGCAGAGAACGAGGTAGATCAAAAACTCTGCGACGTTGGTCAGCGCTCGCTGCTTTAAGTGTTATTTTTCCATGTCTGTGCCTTTATCCACCATTGCGAGCATGTCATAGTTGCGGCGTTGCTTTTCATTGTTGTGGCGGCAAACATCAAGCATCCTATTCAAGCACAAAAAGCACTGATAAACAGCCTAAACGATGACCGGTCTCTATATCACCATATACATTGTCCTGCTCGATGGACCTGGTTGCATGCAATGCACAACTAAAGCAACCAAACTCAGGGATGCTTATTAGTTAGAATGCTCACTTTTTTCAAATTGCATAATTTTTAATGGCATGTATGGTAGAAACAATTTTTTGCGATCTTTGATTATGTATTGAGAAATTGTTGGCACATAAATCATGAAAACTTTCATTAACATTTATACTGTCGATTTTCAATGGGTTTGCTTCGAGCAAAATTTAATAATTCATGTCACCTTGAAAGGAAAACCTTACATCAATGGATATGTGAAAGTTAATCTTTTATGTCACCTTTATGTAAAACTTCAAAAAGCAAATACTAAACGATTATTGTTATATTGAAGCATACATCATAATAATTAGTGAGTTAACAAATGTATTGTAATCATCATTTTTATGAAGTACTCAAAATTTGATTGTTTTTCAAATACAGAGAAGAGTGCTATAATATCTGTCAAAGTTATTTATGAAAAGGTGTGATTAGCACTATTATCATACTTTGTCTGAAATTCTTTAATGTATGGTTATAAATATATTGTGCTACCAAATATAATTTAAAATAATACATAATACAAATTTTATTTTCTCAAATTATTGTGGTTCTTGGTTTTTATTTTTTTCCTACCTAGTTTGATAAATACATCATAAACCAATTATTTATTTCTGATTTGATGAAGCTTATTTCGTCAGCCCTATCGTATGCTCACAACTTTCCAGCAGAGTAATAGCCACTGTCATTGTGCCCACATGAGATATTGTACTTTTCGAAAAGCTGCTGCCAGTTTTCAGTAAAACATTACTTATTTTGTAGCACTTTTTGTGCAACGTTCTCATTAGAATTGCTAATTTAGTTTAATTAGAAAGTGGCATAGTAAATCTTCAAATACAAAGCAGGGAATTATTGTGCCATAGGATAGAAAATAAAATTGATAGGCAATAATAGAAAATGCGAAGGAATCAACGCCACTGAATTTTTGTGTGATCAATCTTTTGTTGTGATTGATATATCAAATATAGGAAGCTACACTCGTACAGGAACTTTTTTATTTTTTCATCACAATCTTGCTGAGTTCTGGTCTAGATGTTGATTTTACTTCAAACTTTCAGTAATTTTTCTTTTTATTGGTACACCGCAACAAATATAATAAAGTGGTACTCGTTGTGATGTCAAAAGTTATATCTCAAAAGCATTTACCATTTAGCTGTATGGTACAAATATAGCCTTGTCCATTCTCTTATAATAAAGAAAAGGTGTTTTACATTGTTGCTTTCATGTGATAAGTTTCAATTTTTACTTTTTTTTTTTTATATATATATCGCAGCACTAGAAATGTTTTCATTTTGTAACTACATAAGGAAAGGCTGCTCATTGCGTGATCATCACTATGTTATGTTGATTTTGTTTTATCAAGGATTTTACCTTTTTTCACTGGCTCACACATGTTCAATTTTTCTGATGCTGATGCCTATCAGCGCGTGGTTAATTACTGTTAAAACTGAAATAATATGATCCCTTTAACTTCTTTGTGGAAAGTAATCAAGTCCCTATTTATAGCTAAAACCCAACGGCATTTTCCACCTAAGTTTTTCAACGTCTAAACGTTTTACTGTTTTTATTTTCATTTTTTTTACCTTTTTCGCACCAGACTTATGGATATGTTTTATTTCATGAAAGTAAACAAAAGTGACCATCGGATTATTGGTTTTGTGTTCATTTTGTCTAGCCTCAGATAGTGTTTATTGTCGCCGGCTGTTATTGTTATGTTAAAAAAGTCCAGAATAATTGTTCTCTTGATTCATGGTAGCGTTAGTTATTCTTCCCACACATTGCTATACTCATTTTCTCAGGGTCTGAATTTCAGACTTAATGATAGTAATCGAAAGTAAAATTTTCTGCAAAATTTTACAGTCTATTGAGGAAGGCTTTGTAATTAGAGATGTTTCGATACCACTTTTGTCACCGATATCGATCCGATACCAGCTAAAAACCCCGATACCGATATTCAAAAAAGTCGATAGGCCGATATTTCGATACTATGTAATTTTTACCTCAAGTGAACATGACAGACGAGCTAAAACAATACTCTTTTAGTGCATGTCATTTCAGATTGAAAAAGTAGATATCGGTATATCGCATAATAAGAAATTGATATTTGGGATCCAGTGCTTAATTGATTTATATGCATCACCGTGTTCAAAACTCAGGGTTTGGCTACTTTGGGTGGTAAAATAAATTAGTGTTTACCTATCCTATCAAACTGATACATTGGATTACATGCGCAGGATTTTGTGCCAATATAAAAACATATTTTGTATTTCACACATTGGAAAAGTCCACTAATATTCGATTGCTATATTTCCTTATAATAATCAGGTAATATTAAAAATGTCAATATAAAAACTTGGCAGTAAAATATCCAAACAAGTTGATATCTGTTTGCAAAACATGCTTCGCAGTTAAAACGCATTGTGACTCAACAAACGCATTCTAAGGCAGGATGACTCTAGAAGGGGGATAGAAATTTCAATAGTATCGTATATTCGAGCATGGGAATCAGGCATCAGTTGAAATGAAAAAACGAAAGTTCATCGAAAATTACAATCAGTATGGATTCACATCTTTTCCGAAAACTCTGAAGTAAAAAGGCAGTGTGTTTTATGCTATTAAGTTCTTGAGCATCATTCATTGAGACCATCAAAACTCGGAATTTTATCTGAAAACAGGGTTTTCCACATCGGTGTAAATCAAAACAAAGGCTCGGAACCCACCAAAAATTATTGTATTAGTTGATAATGTTCAGCAGCAGGTAACCCACTAATAGTCACTTGAATCATTCGGAAATTTCTTTTCTAGCATAAAAAAACTTAGTGGGCCGCAGAACTTTTGTGCAACAAAAAGTGGGCCATGAACGAAAAAAGGTTGAGAACCACTGTTCTAGATCATATTAAAAAGCTAAATATATCGGTCTACATTTAGCCGATACCGATATTGCCGATACATCGGTGCATCTATACCTCGTATAGGCCAAAGTTTTCGATATCAGAAGTTGTTTTTTCGGTTCAATTACTCAAACCCACGTACATTTGAACCCACGACAAACCCATGGGTTTCAGCACCCGCATATAGATCGAACCCATGGTATACACATGGGTTCAAATGTACGGTCACCGTTTTTTCTACGGAATATCAGAGCTGGAGTCGAAGTCCCAAGAGTCTGAATCAATTCGTTTTCACCCCGGTGTCAAATGTTAATTTTCCCAACCCTAGAGCCTTGCTTGGAAAAAACTAAAATGCCACACGATTTGTTTACATCAGGGGTGTGCAAACTGCGGCCCAGCCGCAAAAGAAAATTGTGCGGCTCGCAGAAAAATGCCAATTTCAAAATATGTGCCCGCAAAACGAGCTTTTAGTTTATTTAATCTGGAACGTGCGAGTAATTTTAATCTCCTTGCATGGATAGGAAATCACCATTTTATAGATGTATGTCTCTGTGAAAATTATTGAAGATACTATTATATATAGTCTGAAGTGTTCATATGTACTATATAGCTTTGGAAATATTGTATTTTAAATTTTTCACCCATTCATAGAAACTGCCTCATTTCCTCATTTTCACTATTTGATTTTTGTCGAACATAAAGTAAAATTAAATTTGAGGAAATTATAATTAGGCTTACGCCCTTCTTAATTTTTCACTTCTTTTCGCATTTTATTTACTATTAAAAAAAAAGTATAACCTGCATAATCATGCGATGTTCTTTTTTCTTGTAATTTTCAATCTTTGATTGATACCACCATATTTGCAAATTAAAAAAGCATTTCAGCGGATCATGATATGATGCAATATCATGCAAATCTCAGTGTATGCTATCAGATTTATAAAATGGATAGGAATTCACAATCTTATATATGGATTCTTCATATGTCTTTGTGAAAATTATTGAAGATACTATTATATATAGTCTGAAATAATAATTATATGTACTATATAGCTTGGGAAGTATGGTATTTTAATTTTTCACCTATTCATAGAAATTGCCTCATTCTCATTAGTCCGACGCCCTTCTTATTCTTTCTCGCATTTTTAATTACTATTAAAAACATGATCTGCGTAATCATGTGATGTTCTTGTTCCTTGTAATTTTTATTTCTATTCCAATACTTTCGAGGAATTGATTTCTGGGGCCTCTTAACCGGGCTTAAAACTCAAAAATTTATATTTCTTCTATTGTAATTATGATGCCTGCTTTAGAGTGTCCTGTCTTGGTAGAATCTTACCTTAGGGGTCGGTCGACCTTGTTGACCTTGGAAGTCTTGCCCGTCCCCTTCCGTATACATTTTTATGCTTATTGTTATTTGCTCATGCTTATTGTATTATGTACTTGTATCGGAAATAAATCATTATCTATCTATCGCGAAGCCAGAACCAGTACCTGAGTAAAACTGTCGTATCAGCGAAATAAGCTAGCAAGATCCTGTTGGAAAATACACAATGTTATAAAAGTATCATTCTCACTGAATTCGTTTAAAGTCGGCGTGACAATAAATTAAATAGCAATTTTTTTCAGAATTTTTCTGCGTTTCAAAGGTTTCATAGTGGTCAAAATTGGACTAACGATATAAAAATGGGCATTGGATAATATGTTTGTCTTTTGTTTTTTTTCATCAACCTTAATGTATAATTTTTCCATGCAAATGTTTATTTTCTGGAAATGGGATCAAATCAAATTTGGATGGGAACTAATCAACTATTAATTCGATCAATTGGCATAAAAATAAAAAAATAAATTATCTTGCAAATTTGTTTTGGTTATCCGTATCTTGTATGGTACCAACGGAGGTCGGAGTGTGCGTAAGCTGATATTTCATAACAGTGCAGCTGAGGGAAATTTTTCTTTTTCAATGCAATGAGCCCCGTACATTATGAAAAACCATACAGCCATAATATGTGCAGATGTAGCCTCAGCTGTAGGTATAGTTCAGTTGTATATCTATCGTATGTTATACCGGTACCGGTATTTAATATAAAATATTTATACCCCTGGTACATGCAGACATGTGTCTGTGCTGCAGTGCAAATTAGGAAATGAATACGTACCGAAATAAAAGCGATCAAGACTCAGAGGAAGGTGTTCAGTATAATCAGGCCCGTTTGTACAGGTTACCGTACTGTATATAACTAAAAGTCCATTTCGACTCCATAATCAGCATTAAAGATGATAGCATAACTGATGAAAACAAAGTAAATAAAACTGATTACAGAATCAAGAGAGAGAGAAAAAAAACTTACTTGAATCCAGCGGGGGAAATTAACAAGCAGGCTTCCTCCACCATCAATCCAAGCACAGAAGCATCTGTTACCTAAACTATTCCTACCTATCATGGACTGTAACTGCACGGGATGCTGTTGTTTGCCATATGACAGTATGATTAAGAAGTCTTATTGGTTTTCCTCTCCCCTGGGAGAAATATGAAAATCCAATCTATGTCTATAGTAAATAAAATGTAATAGATATGTAAATAGACGGGAGAAATATGTAAATCCTATCCTATCCTAGTCTGATAGTGGTGCACTTAGCATTACATCTTAACATCCTTAAACTGTGTCTAATGAGAAAAGTATCTGAATGGACAGTTTTGGATTATACAGTTATATACTAATATATGTCAGTATCTGCATATGATTTACAAATTATGTTACTTCATTTCATTCTAGTATCGTAGTTGAAACGCCAGTGTGGTGTTGCTCGGATATTCGAATATAGAAATATGAACTGAAAAGTTTGCCAGTCCAATAATATCAGAATATGAAACTGCACAGAAAGAGTTTTTGATTATTCCAATGCTTCTAGTTCAATGTGCAATGATGGCCTCTCCTTCAATGTATAGAGTTTTCTTTCTGTCCACTGTCGTGATTTGGATGTTTGCCACCATGTATGTACTCCGTGTTGGAACTGGGTAAATATGATCTAACTTTTTCATATATTTTCAACATAATACAGTAAATAGTATTTGTTTGTTTTTTATAAATTGAAGGTTTTTTTGAAGATGATTATTTTTGGAAGATATGAGTATGTCCAGCGCTGTAAACTCTAAAACATTTACACCTACTTCATAACCATTTTGAAAACAACTCCCAATTCCTGGTTGATTGACATTGCACTTATTTTTTGTTTATTGAAAAAGGTTTAGTCGTCCTAATGCTATTTTAGTCTCCAGCTGGAATTTTGATTTCTACTTACAGAGCTGCGAATACGATACTTGACTCCGTAGCCCTAGTTATGTCAATGATCAATGCATGTGTATCATGCAATTTTGAGCTACTATATTTGCTTCGTAACCAAAAGAAACAGCTGCAACATAAATAAATACAAAAAATATGATGTATGAATTGAATAGTAGAATTGAATTTTAACTGATTAAAAAAGGGAAAAGATTACTAAAAGGATTGCTAAGAACTGGTTTGCAAAAGCGGAATCGTAAGAGATAAAGAGTACGGTTTGGTTTTGAGATTTTGATCAAGTTTTAATATAATATTGTTTTCACAAGAATGTGGTCGATATTGGACAACATTAAAAATTGTCTGATCAAAGGTCAGGACAAAATAAATATTCTCATTTTTTCTTGTTATTCTGAACTTTTCCCAGCTTATGTCAAAAAATAGCTAAAACAGAAAATTTCCAAATATACTAATTCTGGGATCACATTCAATTGACATTAATGAACCTATTTGAGTTTTTATTAAATATTGAGCAAAAAACATGACAAAAAAAATGACAAATCAATAGTGCAGACATTTTTACAAGAAATTCTAATTATGTCAAAAAATATATTGATTAGGTTACTGAAACATATCAATAAAGCTGTGAATTATAAACATTAATCTTTTGGTTGACTGCTTCTACAATTTATTTTAGTTATGGTTTTTAAAATTCACATGAATAATGTATATTCTTAGAAAATTACTCATTCAAGTCTTGTATATCTTGATATAACAGCATTATTATTCTACTTTGTCTGGTCTTTCACCTGAATTGACAACTCATATTTTCACAACAATCTTCAAATTTGGTTATGAAATTTTGCCCACTTACTTGCAGAGATACTTCAATTGAAAAATAGTAAAATTTGACATCAATTATATTGGCATTAGGTAGGTGGTACGATTCCAATATAAATTTTAATTCAAAGCCTAGCTGTGTTTGATGTCGATTTTGATGAAAAAAAATTTCAGCAAAAAAACAGCCAAGACACTATTTTTCTTTGGGTTATTGTTGCAAATATTGCTGTTTTTTAAACAAAAATCTTGAAAAACAGTAATGAAAATGTGAAAAATCATATATTACTAAGCTACAATATCAGATATTGCAATATGATACTTAAATTCATGAATTTAAATACAATGTTTAAATAACCTCAATAAATTGATATGAACAGACCGGTCCTGTCTTCAAATGAGCTAAGATAGATATAAGAGAATCCTTGTTCATTACATATGTAATTGAAAACATTACAAGATTGGTAAACAGAACCAAGAATAAGGCCAATGACAGTTGGCTAATGCGAATCTAATTGATGATTCAGGAAGCAACTTGTGTGCATTCTTGAAGTTTTATTTCTCAGCTAAATTGTTCGACCTGGGGTTAGAATGTTGGCTTTAACCCTATTGCAGGTCAAATTCCATGTCCATTATCTCACCCAAAGTGTAATAAATTGGGTGAACAAATTGGAAAGATTCTCGTCCCTTCAAAAAATAGTATCGGTACCTATTTAGTATCATTGGTTGCTTATACAAGCCTTGTTCGGAGTAAAAGAGTGAACAGTTTTTCTATGTCAAGTAACTGTCATTATTTACCAATTACCATAGTGATTTATTGTATGTTACTTATTTTGTTTGCAATGATATGTTTTCAGAACAACTGCAATCAAAGATTCACCTGATGCTGTTGAATCGTTTGAAGTTATGGAAGAACTTGAAAAACAAAATATACAGTTGAAAGAAATTGCTGAAAAAATGAGGTTGGATTTTTATATTTTGTATTTTTTTTTTTTGGCAGCTTCATTTTTCATACACGTATTTTATCTAAGCGATCTGAGCTTGGTAGAATAAACATAATATCATTTCATTCAATTCCTAGCCTATCACGACTGTTATTTCATTTTATTTTATAGTTCAGATAACGGACATTTCACTCACTTTAATTTGATAATTTGTTTCCATTGCGTGACTGGTTGGTTCCATTGCGTGAATGCATGAATAAAAAAATCACAAATGTTTTGTATCCATGTTGAAAATGCACAAAATCAAATGTATAGGTAAGTATATTATCTGTCTGAGGATGTCTGGCTTCAGTCAGACGAAACATTACATGTATATATGCGTATAGTATGATTGTGTGATCATTCCATAATAAATTGTTTAGTACAATCTATTCTATTTTTGAAAAGCTTTGCGCAAACATTCATTTCTCCTTCCTGATAAACATTCTCTATTTCAGAGTCATTGAAATGAGAAAACTTAGTCAACCAAACTCTGAAGAAGAGGGAAATGATTTATTAGGAGTTGTCCAGTCGCAACTTATTGCTTGTAATAAGAAGAACCAAGAATTGTCCACTGAAATCAAAGCTGTACACTTGAAAAATGGTATGCTATTGCCTAATGTATTACTGATCTTCCTTTGGTCTCAGTATTTAACAATTGTTATTACATGTGAATTTTATATGGTCACGTATGATTCTCTCAACTCATTTAACAGTGGATATTCTATTAGGTGTTTTGCTTTTCTGATGAGCCATCCACTGATACATGGTGAAACTACAATTTTGGAAATCTTATGTTTGTCATATTTAATATAATCTACCCTATTTGTTACACCCATGATGAGCATTGGACTCAAACGTAGTTAGGTTGAGATTTTTCTTTGTTAGAGATGAAAGCCTGCTTCATTTAGCCCAAGGCCCCATTTATTTTTGAGAATATGACATTTTGTTTCTTTCAAAATCAGCTTGTAGCTATTATGCTGCATTTTATAGCTAAAGTGTGAAACATACCTACCTATATATCTTATATAACTATTGAGATATTTAATGCGTGCGGTTAATTTTCAGGATACCTGTCGTATCCGTTTCCTATAAAATGAAAAGCGTTGGTGTTGTATTTAAAAGTTCCATACAATATATGTAATATATATTAAAAGCATAAGGACAGAGATTTTGTATCAATGTGAAACATATGCTCTAGCTAGGGAGTCAAAAGCAATGATTTCCGAAATGAATCGAATATTAGTAATTTTTTAATATAATAATTCTTGAATGGAATATTTTATGATTTCTGTGCCATATCTGTTGTTTCAAAAACAAGCATTTTTAACATCTGATAACAGTAGAAAACTAAAATAGCATTTATTTTTATTTATTATTAACTTTCATTCATCATGAAAATCGATCCCTACCAGTATTTGTCAATTTATGCAAATTCCTTTGTCAACTAAAACCCAATTTGGCAAAAATAGCAATATTTGCAACAACAATTCAAAGAAAAAAAGTGTCATGGTTGTTTGAGTAAATTTTTTGTCATCAAAATATACCAATTCAGAACATTTCACTCAATTTATGATAGAGGATTCTCCCTCCAGCATACAAGCATGAAACTCAGGGGATGGCCAAAACCAAACAATCTACCATTCCAAATACATTATGAAATTATATTTTCGAATATGGATATTGTTGGGAACTTTGGATTTGTTTTCTAGTTTACAATTTCAGAAATTAAGCTTATTTGGTCATACTTTTAGACTTAAATTGCTCAAAATGATAATTTTTTCAAATAAAACTAAAAATTATTCCTTAAATCAAGAATTTGAAAATTGAATATTAAATATATTCGGATATTCGATTCCTTTTCACACCGCTGATCAGACTTCATTAAAACATGACAATCCACCTATTTATTTTGTGATCTTGCGATGGCACATGTTGGTTTATATATTCAAGGTGTGACTTTAAGTGATATAGGATATCAGCTCTCATTAATTTTCTTATACTTTATATGGCAAATTTTAAATTATGCATAAACATAATCTTTAATGGTGAAATGTATCAAATTCAATTTTTATTGATTATACGGTATCTCATGAATCATGGATCAAGTGGAAAATAGAAAATTTGTTGTAAATTTAGTTCAATATTTTGGCGTACCGTATCAGTAAGAAACAAAAGATAGAGATTAGCGTGAATGGAAAAGTTGAGAGGGATAAGCGCTTGAGTTAAGAACAAAGGATAATGATGTGGATAAATGGAAAAATAGTTTGGCTTACTGCACCAGTAAAAAACAAAAGATTAAAAATAAAATAAAGGTTTGGTTGGAATAATTTTCATTTGGGAGTGCTTTGTATGTATTTTTAGACTAGTTGAAATTTCACAATCTCAACTTTTATTACTTCTCATAATATTAGGTTTAATACAACCAAATATCCATCCATCTTTATTTATTTTTTTTTTTTATTTGTAGCAAATTCAAAGCCATTGCCTGAGCGAAAAGAGCAAAAATCTGACGCAAATGATGAAAAGAATTCGATTGACTCTTTGACACGTTCCACTTTTAATCAGATCACAGAACTTTGGTATTTTATTCAATCAAGTTTAAATAATTTGAAAAATGACAAATCTTTGTCAGAAGAAAGAACCAATCAAATTTCTGAAGTCATCAACGATATTAGATCACGAAAAAGGTAAAATTTTGTATTTTATTTGTTCTTTTCATATTTTTCATAATCACAGTAATTAATTATATATCTGAAGTCAATTTTCACTTCTTCCAGAATATTCTAATATTGACTTTTCCTAATGCAAAAATGTCAGTGAGGCTATCTAGATCAGGGATGGGCAATTACTTTTCTGAGTGGGCCAGTTACAGATAATACAATTGGTTAATGGGGCGGAGCCTCAAAATGGATAGAAAACACTTTATTTACAACATCTAGTCAAATAGCTATAGGCTAAAGTTTATATAATAACAAGAAGCACAATGTAACAATCAGGGTCATTATGACGTTATTTTCATCGATATTTTCAACCAAAATTTATATCCATGAAAACTATAGTCGTAGTTCAACAGACACAAGTGGGCCGGATGAAACATTTCAGAGGGCCGTAATTTGCCCACTCCTGATCTAGATCAACTTGAATGCTTTCAACTATTTTTAAAGCTTGGAAAAATGGTTTTAGCTTAAGAACATTTGTCATTGATCTGTATTTTAAAATAGGGCAGTGGAAAATGAGATTTAATGGAAGTTAGCCAGGAGGAGTGCTAACTCAATTAGGATGGTTTTTTGTACAAAACCAATTTGCTTTTTAAAGGCTTTCACCAAACATTGTTAAATTTTTATAGATAACTTAATAGATTTGTAACAAGCAACAGTCGTTTCCACTTTTTATGCCTTGATTGTACATACCAGTTCAGTTATCTGCAAGTCACTGCGACTATTATGGCTTTAACTAAAATATGCAAAATTTGATTGAATGACACAATTTCACAAAATGGCATCAATGATGAAGTCAAATAACTTTCATAAAATGCATTTTTCATAGTTAAATAAATAAAAACAAGTCTTTTATTAGTCATAGTTTTTTTAAACATTTTGAAGATGAAAATCGGGGTATTGTACAGATATTAAGCATTTGAAATTTTTACGGAAAATTAAAGGTTTCATGAGATCTTTTGAAAATTTTTTGATCCTCATTTGAAAAATTAGTTTTCGACCTCATAAATATATGTGGAGCAGGAAGCATTATTAGTATATCATCATTAGAGTTTCCGATTCACGCCATATCTCTATCGTGTGACTAAGAAGAGTTGCATGGCATAGTATAGCAACATCTCCTTTGTCTATATTCTGACTACAACAATCATATTCAGGATCGACAGAATTTCTGTTCTAATGTGAATTTACCCATAATGCAAGATGTGAAGTGAGATTCTGCCATTTTAACCTTAATAAGGAGTAGGCGTAGAATTTGTTTGCAATCTTTCAAGCTTTTTGTTTTCCTAACAATCTGCCTGCTGTCAATTTTATGATTATTATGCAAATTGAATTTCCTCAACATATGCTATTGACTCAACTATTGTTTGATTATACTTATAAGTAATAGTCAAATTTATTTGGACTGTGTATATATAATAATTCTTTTTGAGGTATTTATTGCCATTCTATGGTGACTGCAATATTATGGCTTTTTAATTTATTAACAGATACCATGCTAGATTATGCTAATTATCAATATTAATCAAGTATTAATTATAATCGTGAAATATTAGATTTTGTCGAATATTGCGAAAGGTGATTGATTTTTTGTCCAATTTTATTTGACAATTTTCCAAATATTACCGTAACTTTAAAATCAATTCCAGCAATTTTTTGAATGACATTTAAATTGTTATAATCAATAGGTTAAAGTCTACCATTGTTTTTACGAGTTATCTCAAAACAGTTTTTTTTTTGGAATGCTTGGTTGCAATTCTGATTATGATAATGTGATTGAACTTGGTCTCTGCGGTGTGAAAAAGGTTTGTCAACCCCTAGTGTATGTCATCATGTCTAACAGCAATTAAATTATTGATGTTGTTTTCATCACCACAGTGCTGCACTTGTTGAAGTTGAATTATTGCAAGATTTGCAGAAAGAAGTGAGAGAAAGAGAGATGCAAAAGCTCGGAGAGTTGGTGCAAAGAAGATTTCATTATTTACAGGTTAGATGAATCATGATAAAAGGCATTTACAAGTTTGGAACGAGGATAAAATATACTCAATCACAGATATTCATAGTACATTTCATTTGCTAAACTTTGTTGATATAGTTATGCTTTGAATGCTTTTGGAAGTAAAACAATCAAGATACCTTCCAAATAGAGTATAAACCAATCACTTCATTTAGTTTGCTAGAGTCAAATAGAGAAACTAAAGCAAGAATAGAAAAGTAAAAGAAATCAAAACTTAAAAAAAAATACAAATATTTTGTTTGTAATATGATGCTTCAAGTGTGAGCATTTGCTTATTGCAAATATCCTTCAATCGCAAGTAACTTGATATGGCGTTATATCTATTTCCTCCCAGGGGCCCTCGGATTTTCACTGTAATTTATAGATCAAGCGTTTGCTATAAATTTATTTATTCCCATATACAGTACAGTGATACTTCAATAGTCAAAAAAATGCGTTCAGGATTGGTGTTGGAGTATCGGAGCTTTTTGCCATAAGAAACAATGGTAATTATTTAAATATGTTCTATAAATTCCAAAATATACAAAATATTAATAAAACATGTACCAAACAACAATAATTGCTGTCACCTGCGCAAAATTCGCTTCATCATTTACTTATCTATTAAAATGTGGAAATGGATTTCGTCGTGCCATACTGAAGGCGAGTTTAGAGACTCGAAACACCATTCTCATATTTCGCAATAATTTCTTTTTTCAACTCGATAGTTGTTCTCACCTCTACCCTTTTCATTGGAGTCATTATCAATATCAAAACGGAAAGAAAAAGCAGTGAATCGCAAAAATTTCTTAACAACAAACGTTCGAGTTCCAAGTCATTTGACTACTGAGGTATCACTGTAGTCGAAAATAATGATACCAGACTTCCCTTTCGTATTCATGAAAGTGGGATGAGATTTTCGTATGCATCATATGTAAGAAATAAGACCGTTTAATCACACTGCGAACCACTTTCTCTGGTCTGGTTACCTGTCCACATCTAGTATGGAAATAGTTAAGCAGTTGTTTCATGCTCATGGACTAGGAACACTATGTTTAGTAAATTACAAACTGCTATGAATATATTACTATATATTCTGTACTATATATTACTTCTGTGCAAAAAATTGATTTGAAAATCTAAACACGCTGTATATGCAGCAGCCCAATAGCCCTGTATGGAGGAGGTTTTCAAATTCCAACTCTGTTTACCTATGCTTCTTTCTGCTATAGAAAATCACCATGAATTTTTGTCTTGAAATAGGCAATCTACAATTCTAGATCAGTGATGTAGAGAATCCTTGCTGTTTGTGTAGATGTATTGAAATGTTTAAATGGTAATATGCAAAAGCATGCTTGTAGTTGGAAAATCTAACATGCTGAATCTGTTTGTACTAAATTGAATTGTATTTTACTCTAATGATACTCATAAAAAAATTAATCTTTAAAATTTTCTCTTTGACTTTCTGAAACATATCTGGATTATATTTTTTGGGACTAATTTGTTAATTGATATATATGAGTTATGGAGACTATTTTCTCAATTTAACCCCATCTTGCATGCTCTCCGCTTGTTGGGAACTTTTTTCTGACAAAGCAATAATACAGTAGTCCATGTTAGCATGAACATTCATGGATATGCAAAATCTTCTCTATCTTTGGCGTATGAAATTCTAAAATAACTACACTACTGGTACTTGGCATCGCAAGTGTATACTACCCTCTATAGATTCATGCAAACATTACTTCATGTATCACACAGTTTTGTAATATTATAAAGAGAAGTTGTTTTAGAAAAGCAATATGCAAGTTTAAGCAGCAAAAAAGCGAAAATTGTCGAAGGTTTTCCACTTCTCCACTTCATTTTATAACTGTGATGTTGCCAGTAAAATTCAATCCCAGTATCTTGTTACTAGTTTAATTTAGAATGTGTTTTAGTGTTGTTTGAAGCGTTATTCCTTGTATTTGTCTCAATTTAGTACAATTTTATCTCACTCATGATACTCCTATGCATCTTTGTAATTGTAATAATTGTATATATTTCAGAATCCAAAAAACTGTGACGCAGCAAAAAAACTAGTCTGTAATTTAAACAAAGGCTGTGGTTTTGGCTGTCAATTACACCATGTTACTTATTGCTTTCTCGTTGCAATCGGAACTCAACGTACTTTTGTTTTGGATTCCAAAAACTGGAGATATTCACATGAAGGCTGGGAATCTGTGTTTAAACCTCTCAGCGAAACATGCACTCGAGCATCTGGGAATCCTACTTTGTGGAATGGTTGGTGATTCTTTGAACTTTGATATGAACAAGTGATAAGGAATTTTTAAAGAAAATATAATTTAAATTTGTACAATTACTAATTGTTTGGTTCAACATTATTTACAATTATTGGTCGTAAAATACTCATAGTGGGCACCATGGCCCATCGTATAAAGTAAACCTTATACTCGCTATGTTGGCTGTTGGCTAAACATCTAGGGTTCAAATCTGATACCTCCTAGGATACCTTGCTTGGATTACTAGATGTCAGTGGCCGTTTTGTAGGTGGCCCCATATCAGTTTGATGGGCAGTTTCACAAAAAAGGGAAAAACTACAAAGAAAACAAAAAATAAACATTTTCATGTTAATAAATAACGACTCATTGGCATAAAACAGCATCATCCATTGCCACGATAATTAAAATTGAACTATAGTGATTCAAATGAAAATAAATTTTTTATGAACTTAGTAATTTCCAATTGGTTTATGGCTCACCTGAATATGTTTCTGTGGCCCATTATTCATTGCCGCGACAATCAAAACTTAACTATGGTGACAGTGATAGGTTGGGCTAAGGTAATTAGCATTTTCATTTTTACGAAAGTGAAGTTTTTTTGTTTTTATTCTATTTTTGAGTATTTGAGCAGTTGAAGAAACTATTAATTATTGATAACAATTTTTTTCAAAATAGAAAGTATATTTGTTAGCTTTTGTTAGAACGTTGAGACAAAACAAGGTTTCATTTCAGAAACAAAGGACACACGTCATACGTCTCATTTATCACTAGTAACACTTATATATATGGATTCGAAATAGGAAGTAAACACAGCGAAAGGACTTGCTTGTAGTTTAATACACAATTTTCTGCTGCTCTGGTATTTACATGTTAATCACTGTAGGTAATTTATACAGGTGAAGAACAATCAAAAAATGTGAAAGATTTGACTTTGCCAATTGTTGATGGAATGATGAGAAGGCCTCCATATTTACCTCTTAATGTACCAGAAGATCTTTATTCTAAATTGGTGCAATTTCATGGTGATCCTGCTGTCTGGTGGTTAGGTCAAGTTGTTTCTTATCTTATGAGACCTCAACAATGGCTAGAAAAGTCCATAGCAGAGTTTGAAAAAGCGATCGGATTCAGTCATCCTATTGTAGGGTGAGTTAGCAGTATGTCTCAAATTTGATTCACTATTTTATTACTTATTATTTTTTTTACTCGCCAGGTTCATTGATTGAATTAGAATATTGGAATTGAAATACATTGCATCTCACTAAATATACTTCTCTTAAATTGATTTTAAAGTGAAATGGAGAAGGTACTTTCATATATTACAAGTTATGTGTTACACATTATTCACGCCACCCAGTGTGGAACCAGGGAGAAGCTCTGGAAAGTTGTCGAACATTGTCCCAGGGTTGCGAATTAAAGTGGCCAAGCCCACAGTTTTTTGAAAAAATTCGAAATCTGAATATTAGGCAATGAAATACTTTCAGACAGAGCTAATATAATTTATTTTATATACCTCTAATATGGCATGCCGTAGTAGTATTCAGTGGCAAACATTGCTCACAAGAATCCTCCAAATTCCTTTTCAAAATGCATTTCTATCACATTGCTGAGAAGAAGTGATTTTGTTTTTTCCGCTTAACATTCGAAACTCGACAGCCGACACAATACAAAGCAAATTCCATTTGTTGTTGGCGTATGTACTGTTTAATTACCGTAATTTCATTTCCATCCATATGGCAATGATAGGAAGCAAAGTTTTATTGACGCAATAATTTTTATTTATGTTTGGGATTTTAATTAAAATTATTGATTCAATTAAACAAGAATATTCAATAATCAAGTGATTATTTTTAATCAATATTTTAAATTAGTTTATTCCATTCCATCAGGCATTTGGTTTACTTATCATATTTTACTCATTGCTGTCACAGTGTGTTTCATACAACAGCTGACTACTTATGTTTTTTTTCACAAACCTCTTTCATGCATAAAATGGAAGTGAGCAATAAATCAAGCATTACCATATGATTGTTTTAATTTTATTATTGCCTTTTTTTCCTCCTCCGGATAAATATTAAAATCCTATCCTAGGATCAGCTCGTATTTATAGCAAATTCGAAAAACATCATGGTTTAGTACTTGCATCCGCTTATAATGCAATTACAACATTTTGACTATGTATCATAAAGATAGGGTAGAGTAGACGTTTCGTGCATTGTACTCATTTGAGTAAATCTCTTGCAACTTCACCTCTGGCTTCCCTGCGTAAGTTAGTTAGTTTGAATCCTGTGGGGATAAATATTTGCCAAAGGGTTACTGGACTCTTCTCAACCACAGCTGTTCAATTACAGCTTCCTCTACTATCAAGTTCCTATGGTCAGAAACAAATAACTGGTTCAGTATTTCCATACCCGACGAGAGACTTTCCCATATGATTAAGCCATCTTATCGACTTTTTTCACTCAGAGTATGAAAAATTCTATTCATTTATTAATTCAGAATTCATATACGACGGACAGATAAAGTAGGATCAGAGGCTGCGTTTCATTCTGTCGCTGAGTATATGACACATGTTGTTGATTGGTATGAAAAAGTAAATATGAAACGACAGAGACAACAAAAACCACCACTTGATAATAAACTGGTCTATGTTGCCTCTGATGATACTAACGTTCTTGAGGAAGCAAGAAGGCTGTAAGTCAAGTTTTGACACTTTTATTTGTGTTTTATAATTAATAATAGGATGCAATTTGAGTTTAATCTTTAGTCAAACATGACGAAAAATTTAATTACTCTCGCACAATTTAATACTCTTTTTGTGGGCGCTCCAGAAGTAGGTATGTGTATCAATATGAAGGTAACTAATTTTGTTCGCCTACTTCGCATCAAGTTTTGTAAATAGACTGAAGCCTATGGGCAGGGGGTATATTTACTTGGCTAACACAGACAGTCCCCGAACTTGTTATAGAACTAAAATTGGAATAAAATTATGGCCCAACCCTAACCTGGTACACATACCATGGGAGTACCTACCATTTTGTGTCAGAATCCTCTTAATAAATTAATTACCAATATTAAACTCGAGTCTTGAGTAGATTTCCAAAAATCTTGAGTAAGTTTTGGGTGCTGTTTAGTGGCAGATGACAAAATAACTCGACTAGCAGTTTATACTTTTTACTAGTGGTCTCGTCGAAAAAATAATTGACTTCTACTTTAATAGGTTTAAAAAATAAGGGAAGGCTTTTCAATCCTTAATGTCTTGTTACCTGTCAGTAGAATTTACCCCCACTTCTCAAAAAGTAATGCCAGACCAGACGATCATTTTGTATTGAGAGGGCATAATATCATCTATTTTGGCTACATTTGATATTACTTTCTTGCGAAAATTCCCCCAATGCAGGCCAAATTGATTCGTAAGGGGTAAATTGCACCCCGGTTGAAAACCCAATAAGGTTCAAGCGAACGGTAGCTAAGATCGAGTCTGTTACTGTTAATAATTCTATAATCTTCATGTTTTTTAGATATCCTGATTTCAAGTTTCTCGGGGATACTGAGATTTCTAAGAATGCAGGAACATCATTAAGATATTCTAAAACTGGTCTTGTTGGTGTTTTAACTGATATTATTCTTTTATCAAAGTGCGATTACATTGTGGGAACTTTTTCTTCTCAGGTAAATCTGATTTCTTTTAATTATTTCATTTTATCAATAATATGAGTTTGAAAATTTCTTATTGTACATGAGGTGGACCTATAAATGGTTTTGCTGGATTGTCGTCGTTTCAAGGTACCAATTATTAGACCTTCAATTTGAATATTCTCAGTACTTGGAGGTGGAAGGAGTCACAAGAAGGCTTCTCTCCTCTCTGAGCCCGATATTTCACCCTAAACTTTACTGATATTATCATAATTACAGGCACATTTTCATATGACATTCAGCATACCATCATATGACATTCTCTACAATTCATTCCACAGTTATTGCAATTGTGGATCCAATATTCGACCTCGTGTTCGTATATTTGAACATTGTTCCCTTTTTTTATCTTCAACCAATAGTAGACCTTTCATGTAAGATGCTTGTCTTGTGCCTTGCTCAAAGTGCAGATGTGAAACAAGTAGGAAGTCCTGGATCATGTCCATGCATCTGAAACTTCAAAACCAGTTAATTGTTCCCCTTTTTTATCGGTGTAAATTAATGTTTTATTGAACATAAGCAATAATTAACATAAACAGTTCAATTGTCACCACAAATAACAGAATATAAAGTCAGACATAAGACACATGTTGTCTCTGCTATACCAAAGTACTGAATGACCTCTGGAGACCAGCATGGAAGTATTTATACCCAGGAAGCATGCTTCAGTGGTTTTACCCACAATGCCATACCACCATGCTGGGCTATCATTGGTTAGTTAAAGTGGGAAATAGAATCAAAACACAGGTATCCCAGGATGACAATCACCTGGACAAAATGTAAATGAGAACACAAGTTAACACCCATACATGGCAATATGGCATGAAATTGTACCTGGAGGAGAGGCGGTGGTTTGCCATATGATTAAGTCATCCTATCGACTTTTCCTCTCCCTGGATAAATATGAAAATAAGGGATATTGCTATCTCCCTCATCTTTTAGTAGTCTGGTACTCTATCCTCGATCCCATACTTTGTGAGTTTATAATCTCCAATATCTCACTATGTTTCTATCTATTGTACAGGTTTCTAGAGTAGCTTATGAATTGATGCAGACGTTACATCCTGACGCCTCTTCACATGCTCATTCCTTGGATGATGTATTTTATTTCGGCGGCCAAGGAGCACATTCACAAAAAGTTATTTATGACCATGATGCCAAACCTGGCTCCGATGAAATTTCATTGCGTGCAGGTGATTTTGTTGGTGTGGCTGGTAATCATTGGGATGGTTTCTCTAAAGGTGTAAATCGAAGAACTAATGCAGTAGGATTGTATCCATCTTATAAAGTAGTTGAAGTTATAACTAAATCTAAGTTTCCAACGTACGATGAAGCAAGTATAGGATTTTTCAATCGAACAGAAGGTACTAACTAATGTGTCTCACATCACATTTTTTGTAATGCAGCATGCAGTCATAGATTTTTGTAATAACAATATTTTTTTTGGTAGATTTGTAAGTTCATCTTTAATTGTAATTCCAGTAACATGGATTAACTTATGCTGCTCAGCAATTAAGTTTAATATGTGTACTGCGCTTTTACTTAATATAGTCTTATTCAAGTAACCTTCTGGCAAATTATGAAGTGTCAGAGAGAGAACTGTGATGTCTGGGGAAATTGACACTAAATTCTATACAAGACTCACTCAGGACATTTACGCTTGACCCTGACTTCGAGTTTCGGTTGAGGGAAGTTTCTATTCCTGCTCCAAAACATATATCGAGCAAATTGTGACCACAAAAAGTGAGTCCACCGAACTCAACAAACCCAAATTTTGGCTTAGGTGACAATTCAGGATCAATATGCTATATGGGTTACCTAAGCATCTTGTGTTACCACTTAAAATTGCTGTATAATATTGGGTTAGCGTAATGAAGTGGCTCTACCATGAAAGATTTTTTTTTAATTGTCTTATGAAAATATTTTTCCCACTCAAAACTTTTTTTTGTCGGGTTTTTCGTCAAAAATTTGGACATTGGACCAACATTGGCAGCCGGAAATTCCGGCTTTATTTTCTCCTTCAGCTCCGACATCAGAAAATATGATCCTTCGACTTCACAGCCCAAGTCAGCAATCATAGAGATAGATGATTCATAAAATGTTTCCTTTAGCTCACATATTTGTGAATTTAGAAACTTCTGAAACATCCTTTACCCCGATTTTTTCATTTTTTTGTATTTTCCAAATATTTGTAGTTATAAAAGCAATGCTGCCTTGAATCTTTGCTAACCTGACTCAAAGTCAGAATTAATTTTGAATTTGAGAAACTGTGTATATCTGTATCTATATATATTTGTATTTATACTATTTGTTTTTATAATTGGAAAATTCACGTGCTTTGCTATTTTATCATTTTGTGCAAATATGTATTGCAAGATCTGCCTTATGTGTGGAAAGTACTTTTTTTCATCATGAATCATAAAATGATTTTTTTTAAATCTTCATAGTCCATTATTTCTTTCACATTCTCAACACTTTTTACACAATTTTCGCACTGAATTTTTATTCGTTTTGTTATATCGAATGATATCATGTTTTTAACGAAATAACTTCAAAATCATTCTTATTCAATTTGTTTTCTTCTGTACTACTTCAAGGCAAATCTTTTTTTTTATATTTTAGTCGATTCATAATCACTCACTACACAATGTTCCTTATTATTAGTGTACTTAAATAGGTTGAAATATATATTGTTTACACTTAGATCATATTACTCGACCTGCCTTTTTGTTTTCTATTTGTGCGCAAGAGTGTGCTAAACCTGGATTTAGGGTTTGTGGGTTTCAGGAGTATTTGTAAAATGGCGGTTCCACCATGACGCGTTGTGCTAAACATTAGGAATGCACTTGTCATCGCACCAGTGCACCACCAATGTCTCTGCCTTGATTTGGAGGTTGGATTTGGGGGGGGATAAGTTTTGTGCGACCATAATTGCTGATCTTGTTACATGAATATTTTCACCGCAAACCAAGTAATCGCATCTATAATGATTTAAGTATTTCCCCACCGGGCTTGAACTTTTAATTGGACTGATGGTCGTGGTACTGGCATACGGAGGTACGTGGTAAAGTGTGCACTGACCATGCTAATGTCGACTATAGACTGGTATTAGAGGTCGCTTTTGATACCATCATGTTTTAGTCATCTTAACTTGTTTATTGAGCCTTATAGCTTAATCAAAACAGGTTGTGTGCCATCTTGGTGCACATACCTCGGGAGCGCCGTTTTTAGTTTCTAGATGCCTTATTCAAAACGTCGGATTTCAAGCTTTCTGTAATTGTCTGCTGCGAATACCCAGTCAAGATGGTATATTTTGCGTTACTCTATTAAAGTTTAATTTATTATAGTTGTCAAAAAGTCTAAAAATACTTGCTCATTTGATTCTAATGCGCCGTACCGATAAATACATTATCACACGTCACAATTAGAACACAAAAAGTGATTGGAGTTTTTTTAGGCGAGATTGATGCTTGGTGTGATTTTAGATACAGTTGGCGCATTTCATGTCAGGCATGCATGGCGCCTATTACATGTACTGACATGCGAACGAAATTCTTGAGTCGGAACGAGCAGGGCGCTATAATACGAATCACAATCACCAAAAAGCGTTTGTCTTGATGAGACCACTCGACGGGCGACGTTACACTTGACGTCGTCTAGTCTGGTCGGAGCGTCAGTATTGAAAAAATGTCTGTAATGAAACTGTGCAATAATTTTAAAACGTATTAGAATGGCAACAAATTTCAAAATGTCTGGAGTAATTTTCAACAGTGAATAAAAATAAACTATAAGTGAGCGCGCCGGGTCGCAGGAATGTACCAATTTTTAACCACACCAGAAATTGATGCAAACCCTCTTTGGCGCTGAATTATTTCGTTAATTGTCTGCAAAAAAATCAATTGCACTAGCCTAGGATCTACTTTGTCTCTATATCAACGACAAATTAAACATACTCTCGGTGTAGTATGTAATAAAACCTACTTGGATGTTCGACAGTTTAAATTAATTGAAAGATAGAGATTGAAGTTTAAAGTTGATTACATTCGGCTGTGAGTCACTGAGAGTTTGGTGCAATTTCAGTCCACATACTCAGTGTTTCACAAATAGCCTACCAAACTACGATTGGAATCATGCGATTAAATGCCTTCACAGATGTGAGCAATGTTTTCATAGGGGAAACTGGATCCAAATAACTGATTAGGTGGTATTCGTGCTAATGAACCATTGGAACTTCGCTGAAACAGAGCCGTAATTACCAATACAATGATTAGGCTAAATGATCAAATGAAATAATAGACTGTTAATTTCCGTTTGCTTCCCTGTGGCCTATATTTGCCACAAATTGTATGTAGGAGATAGGAGTAGGGCGGATGATTCTCAAACAATATGCATGTATACTTGAAATATTATTCACTTTATTTCATATCGTTGTTTTCGCTATGAATAGCACGTTGTTTGCCACGACAACAGTAACATTAAGTATATATTTATATACCAAATTTAATCTCTAACGTTACATGATTGTACTATACAGTTGGCTATTTTCATTGGTCATATTTTGTGGTAAGCAACAAACTTCCTTGTCCGGCCGAGAAACTGCATTGTTTTTCGAATACAACATTTTTCTACACGGTATATTGAATTGAATTTAAATTTTATTTCCAATAAATAATGAACTGTTATGAATAAAGTATCAATATGCAATGATAATATTATATAGAAAGGGGGAAATAGGCAATTGCAACGAAAAGTTAAAAATATGAATAAATGAAGGCAAAATGGCAAAAAAAAAAAAGTGGAAACTTTACTTTTACCTGTATGGTTAACCATACTTCGATTGCTTAGTAATAAATAATAAAAAACGATAGATAGGTTTGAATTCAGAAAGTATTACAAGAAAAATTAATTTGAGCAGCGTGATGCAGCCATCATGTCTGTTGACGTTCTGCGTTTAAAATAATCGAATATAGCAGTCCTAAGATGCTGATCGGGTGGCCCGTACGTTGGAGCAAGTTGGATTCCATAACCAGGAATATGCACAGGCTTGTTGGAATATCTTGCAATTGAGAATCCACATTTTTTCACAACTTCGTCTTCCTCAGAACCATTTCCACGTCGTTTCTCTTTTGTCCTTCTGTTTTGGAACCATGTTTTGATTTGGCACTCCGTGAGATTCTGTAGAAAAATGATAGAAAAAATTATATATAAATATAAATAAAGGTTTATTTTACAAAAAACTACAATTCTACAAATAACTTCACTCTTGCTATAGCATCCTTCAGTTAAATGCATACGGGCCACCAACGCAAAAACATAGGAAAATAAGTGGTTTGTCCCACATTAATTCAATCATTACCCTACAATCTTTACCTTAATTGTACATATCATGTTATTTCAAGTTTATAAGCAATATTTTTCTTTTGTGAAACGCACTCAATTTGGCGACAGTTTTACCAGACGGACGCCAATAAAATCACGATCCATGGAAGCATGGCGCTTACAGCACTTGGAATAACATTATCTTATTAAAACAAACTAATTAATAAGCGCCACCATTATGAAACATGGAAGGAGAGAACAAAACTAAATTGCCGACAATATGGCGCGTAAGGTGCTTCAATACAAAGCGAGAAAGACATCGTATGTTTAGTGACAATTTACAACTTTATAATTGTCGCTTAGAAAGTTTCGGCTTGAGACTGCAGGATGTCGCGATAAACTTGTTAACGTGCCCAAGTTATTCGAACATTAATTAAGTTGTATTTGGTGGTAATTACCGCTAATAAAATAATACCAAATAACTTACCACTTTTTGAGAAATATATGCTCTTTCCATCCGACTAAGATAAGGTTTTAGGGCGAATGTTTTTTCCAACTCCAAAATTTGAAATCCAGTGAAAAGTCGACGTCCAACACGCTTGGATTTCCCTTGGCATTTTCCTTCGACTTTAGTCAAACAGTTTTCAGATTTTGATTTGTTTTCTGTATCCGAATGATTTTCCTGACTTGATAGGTCTCTGTCGTTTGGGGAGCACATAGGTGACGTCGAATGATCTGCAAAAGCAAGTTCAGTTTTAAGGATTGATTACTTCAGTTATACGATAAATACTATGGCAAGTTACATTCATTTGCAGACGACGAATTCCTGATTCTCAACAGTACCAGCCCGCTTCAAATTATCAATGAATAAAGAATGTAAATTTTAAACACAATTTAACATATTCGACTTACCAGAATCAGAAGTTGCAGTGATCTTTATTTGGCGTCTGTCTTCACTGTCTGATTCTGAGGAAGAAATTTTTTGTCCTGGAGTTGATGGATGGGTGTACATTCTCTGGGACATTTGGTTTTCACTTGGTTTGGGATACTGGCCTTCCAAAATCTTGGGCGCACAATGATACGGAGAAGGTAATATTCCATGAGTTATTGCTGGAGAATGCAATAGATTAGCATCGTGAAGATATGGTAGTTGGTATGGGTAATGATGTGGGTGATGATGGACCCGATGATGCTTTAATATCTCCGATGGATAAGGCAAATATCGGGATGCAAATAGGTTTTTCTGTATCGCTTTGAGACTGTGCATCTTAGATACAAAATCATCTTCCACTTGACAATGATCGGCATCTTTTGAAGGTACGACGTGAGCATTCGGTGGTGACTGGAGCAAAGATTTTGTTTTATCCGATAAAATTTTCTTTTCTTGATTTACTTTGGAGTGAAGATTCATTTTGTTGCACTCAGGAGATTTCTCACATGTTGGCGGTTTCCATTCGATTGTGTAGGAACGCGGACTCATACATTCTTCTTTTTTAGGCGTGGAGCAAGTAAATCCCCCTTTGTTTGATATATCCTGTACCGGCAGAGTTGCATTCTCAGACTGCTGCTTATTTTGAGTTGTGCTCGTTGTGTTACCGAGTATAACATCGATTGAAAAGCTCAACTGCATTTCGGCTAATTGGTAGAATATATCAATATTGAACTTATGATATATATTACGGCTCTGATCAAAATAGTTTTACTGTTTCTCACGCTATCGCTTTCGTATCACTAATGAAGACGGAATGCTTATTTATCTCTTTTATACCGAATTCGGGACGATTTTCAAGTGACGTTAATGAGTTGGCGGCAGGTACCGTCGCATCTTTATCGCCAGACAAGTGAAAAGCAAACAATAACAATATGGCGATGTAACAATAGAAGAGTGAAAGAGATGAAAATGTAATATGTCGGCACTTATTCAAAGTACATTGCCGCGACTAAATTGCTTAATATCACGAATTACAATAATATTAATTAATTAAATGCGAAAAAGTTAGCTCAATCAAAAACTCTACTTTCAAGTTCGTGAATTTGAAACCTTAAAATATTTGCCTTATCTTGCGGTTTCTTGAACTTCTGATCTGTCTAATTAATTTCCCATTCAGCATAGTTAACATAAGATCCCACATTTTTGTTGCCAGTCGTTATACGGAATTTGTTTTTAGTTGTTTGAAAATCCTCTTTTTATAAAATAATCGTCGTAGGTTGTACAGGTGAAACCTAGAGTTTTATTCATTTGGCATTATTAAACCCTATAGATTTGACATATAACATCAATTTTCCCCGAACGTTAATATTGCAATATCACTGAAAAAACTCTGAAAATCCGCCCTAATTCAACCTGTATCAAAGTTAGACTGTAATAACGGGTATTACTGCTCGATAACCGGCATTGGTTTTTCGCGTCTCCCTTCTGTTTGAAATATGCCATTTTCACGTTCTTCCCCTAGTTTTTGTTTGCCTCAAGTGTGTTTTCATTTTGATGAAAAATAAACTACTGACCGAGTATCAAGATAAAGGTTACGACAAACAAAGAACTTTTGAAAGTTTCAGTACCAGTAGGTGGATGCCAGTGATCAGGGAGACTCATAGAGATCATGGGAGAATTTAATATAAAGTACTGCTATCTATATCATTATTTACTGTTTCATATAGCAAATTATATGATAGCCGATTACGGCTTTCCATTTTCTTCACTAGTCAAGTAGTCTGCTATTTAAGTTGTTTATAAAACATGAAATACTTCGTTGCAGTCACTATGACGCCGTATATTATTATTCTTGTAAATTTCAAGTATAGAGATTTGTAGTATGTATTGCAGCAGTGATTAAAAGAAGCCAATGAAATGTTGGTTATTCGAAGGGATAAGCTAACGTTTTGCATTACAGCCTGTCGCCAATCATTGTTTGAGCGTTTACATTTCAACATACTTTGATGAAGCTTAAACAAACAAAATTGAACTGCATATGTTTGTTTTGCCGCGTGTTACAACTAATTTAAACTTGTTGTGACACCTATAATGAATCGGCTTATTGATCTAATAAAAACCTGTCGCAGAACAATTAATTCAGGTTCTTGTTTGTTTGTCGCATTTCGCGCCTCATAGTCTCTTCTCTGTTTGATGAGCCGAGTCGGATGTGAGGCACCAGCAACAGATAAGGTGTGAAAAAATGCGATAAGATGAAGGAACATCAAGGTTATACAGTCCATGTAAACAATGATGCGAGAAAATAAATTTGTTTTGCAAGCGGCTGACGATGAAACTAGTTATTATAAAACATTCGAGAGACAATTACCGACAGGATGTACAAACAAAACCTTTCATAACTCGGTTATACATTACTGCACCAAAGGCTTTTGTTTGATCCGACATTTTGGCGGCTCGCATTTAAAATGTCCGACGTGACTTATTATGACATTTTAATTTATAAACCACAACTAGCATAATTGATGGAATTGTAGATCTCTGGCGCCTACACGTTTACTCGTGGAGTTCTACTGAGTCTGGATAGTCATGGAGTTGTTTTAATGTAGAATACACGAATAGTTAACTAAACTATCTACATTCCAAAGTTTCAAATTAGTGAAGAATCAGAATAATATCACGAAAACAATTGTTGTTTCTATCGTTACACTATAGGACAAATATTATTCTTAAGGCTAAGATGTCCAGACGGAGTGTTTGGAATTATTGGACACGAAACGCACTCGTTTTTGTTATATCGATATAAAATGTCTTCCAACGAAATGGAGATATTTTATAGCAGATCTTAAACACCGTCAAACTTCTTTATTGATAACGTATCAATGATAAATCTTCCAATAATCAATATTAATTTTAGAAATAAAATTTAAGGTCATTTTCGAGTTTACTAAACTATGATATTATCCACTTAGTCTTCGAATCACGTTTAACGTACTTTACTATCTGAACTAAATCACTTCTTGGTCGACGCCAATTCCTTTAGCCGCATGAGGGGGTTTTGATCAGTCTGAGTGGTCAATTTCATAGTAAAAGTTGTAACACAAAATACAAACATATAAAAAAAAAACTGTATACATACACCCTAAATCCAAAGTTATATGAATCTGATGTTTTTGTATCAGTCAATACATTTAAGATGATGTAGGTACAGCGTTCATGCCAGAGGAATTTGCTCAGATGGGATTCCCCTTGAAATTAGTTGACCGCATATATCTATCGGCTTACCGTATATATGAAACAAAAACCGGGACAGTGTGAATTGGGCCAACTCTGGTTTGATTTCGAGGCTTGGTAATATTTAACTCATATGAGTATTAGTAATATGCAAAACATTGCAAAACATGCACTTTCTTTCCGACATTTTGGATAAGTTAATGACAGTACAGCTAACGTTAGATGTAAAATTAACGTATTGAACCATATAATGATTATGATATAACAATATAGTTCACTCTCTCTCACACTGAACTGGGGAAGTGAATCGCAAATCAACAAATGGGCTGCCCCCGTTGAATAAAACAATTTTGTAAAAAATATTTACGACTGCCATACTGCATGACCGGGGCATTTAATTATGTTAGGTAAAACAGCTTCGGGACAAAATCGGGACTGTCCAGGCTAAACCGGGACGTATGGAGGGCCGACATACAGCACATCATTCATGATCAACTCTTCTTACTGGAAGGATCCCACGGCACATTTTTATCGAACATTTTTATCACGGAAAAGGAGAAAATAGGCCGCGGATTTAAGCTGTTTTGGAATTGATGAAAAACTCGCGCTTGCTACAAACCCTTCTCTTGGTTTTGTCCATTTCCCGATCTTGCCATCTTCATTGTGCGTGTTTTTACTTTTTATATTCGTGTTCTGTGTTGTAGACCAGTGGTTCCCAACCTTTCTACCCTGGCGGACCGGTAAAACTAAATTAAATGTACTCGCGGACCGGCAAAAAATTGAAATGACCGGAACATAAAAGAATAACATATATTTGCGTAATACAATGCAATGTCGGGCACTCAATATGCATTTAGACAAAAAAGGCACACTCAAAAACAGCTCACACGAAGAAAAACTATCAAATAATGTGCCGACCAAAAATATTTGCGTAATGGAATGCTGTGCTGGGTACCCATTATGCGTAAGAAAGGCACACATAAAACATCTCACATAAAAAACATGTACATGCCAAATCATGTACAAACGCAATTAACTCTAGTGAAAATTTTGCTGCTGTTTAGTTTCCAATATAGTATTGCAAACGATGCCTCAAGGAAGTTTCTGCAACACGTAGCCCTGCAGCGCGTGCAGCCAATTTCCTTGCTTCGCTTTAATTAAAGCTATAGATGAAAATATTTTTATATATAAGAAAGAAATATGCATAACGTTTTATTTGGATGGTCATATTAATCAGGAAAAGCATGCAGTACAGAAAAAGCATGCATGCCAATTTTTAGGTTTCTGAATCTTGCGTGATTTGATGGAGCGCATTCACGATGAATCGTAGCCGAAAAAGCAAAAAGTGTGATTCCTTGGCGCCAAGATGTCGCGAAAGACGTCGCAATATGACGGCGGAAGAGAAATTGCGTAATAAAGCAACCTCGTCTTCGGTAAAGAGATCGGAGCGCATTCGAGATGAATCGGAGCCGAAAAAGCGAAAAGTATAATTACTCGGCGCCAAGATGTCGCAATATGACGGCGGAAGAGAAATTGCGTAATAAACCAACGCAACCTCGTCCTCGGTAAAGCGATTTAGGCGGCATAAAAACAACAAAACACCGAAATTTTCTCGCGGACCGGCAAAAAAGCTTCGCGGACCGGAACCGGTCCGCGGACTGGCGGTTGGGAACCAATGTTGTAGACGATAGATAGATAAAACTGTATTGTTTTGTATACCTTGGTTGGTATTGTGTAATTTTGATCTTCACACATGCAGCACTTGCATTACGACGGTTTCTGTCGAAATCGGTTTTGTTACTCAGTTCCATAAACATGAAAGGGTAAGTATGGTTATGTCATGAACCCCGGAATAGCATTTCGCAAACCAGGTATATATATATATACCTCTGGCCTTGTTACAATTTTTATCTTCGCGGTGATGGTACGTTTTTGTAATAACTCGTGACTTGACGGATCATTGACAAACATGATTCACTTTGTGAACCCTGGGCTGATGGCTAATTATCCATTGGCATAAAGTTAAATGTTTCCCGATTTTGCTGTTTTTTCCGTATTGGTGTTTGGTGCGTGAACTCTTCCACGTTCATTGCAAGTATGAAGTTTATATTTTATTTGAACCCAAGTACTTACCGCGCGGAACTTTCTGCAGAGTTTTTTCAAGTTAGGTGTCTTTTTTAATATCAATTGCGGAATGTCTTTCCATATTGTGGCGGGAATTTCCAATGGTACCAAATATTATCGTCCCTGAGCGTTAACTTAATCAAAATTGTTCACTCCTCACAAAACTCTTTTGCTGCGGCCACCCTGTCACGACACGCACTTCAGCCGCAACCAAGGTCTGCCCTTAGCCACAGACATCAGGTTTTGCGATTATTGGCGCCACTGTTTATATATATTTCCCCCGCTGTTCACACCTTGACAGCGCCCTTAGTCTCCAGAGGGCAGAACGGGTGTAATTACGAGTACGACAAAAACTTCTACGGTTCATTCAAACAAAAATCATTCCGCATCCATCTAGATGTGTCCATTTTCGCTGGCCTGACCATGCTGAAGGCAAGTAAAATTTTCAGTTAGCGTTGCGCCGTAAACCGTAAATTGCCGTTACCGCTGTTTTGACATCATCACGTATCTGTGCGTCAGAGTGAGCTGGTGTCCCATGTTAGAGACAGAAAAAGAGAATTCGATTGCGCAACAATGGCGCATTTGTTTATATAATGAAGAATGACGCTAATTACAAAATGAATCAGCATTTTAGTAAAATAAGAACGACGTATTGTTTTAAATCAATATTTTAATTGGGATTATCAACCAGTAAAATACTTGATTTTTTTTTTACAATAGAGTATTTATGCTAAGCGATAAACAACTGTTACCACCGTATGAAATAAAAAAAAATAAACCGAATACATGGATCACAACAAATAAAATTCGGTATCTTTATGATTTGTAATCCCAAGTAGAATTGGCTTATTTCAACCTAGAGAAGTACACTTTTAAATGTTTAAAAGTTTATCGAAGACAAAGAGGAATGTCCCTAACTGAAATTCCGTTTGGTATACATTTAGCAGTATGGACCGAGTCAAAAATATTTCAATAACACTGAGCGTCTATTTTTATATGCAGGTGGTGGTCTGAGTCACAGCGTGTCACGCCGAATCCGTCACGAAATAAATGGCGATAGTGATAGTTGCGTTTTCCCGAAATACACAATGCATACTTGTGAGGTGCTGGTAATACGTTTAGATATTGAAATAATGGTGTATCCAAGATACATTACTGTTTAAAAAAAGGTTATTGTACGGTTATTGTAATGTATCACGGTGTTAAACATCTCCCAGGGCATATTTATTGTTTGTTCTCATCGTCAGTATATTTGACGCATGGTTCCGGCTGAAACAGGCTATTCTATCTAGATTTTTTGCATTTCCCATGCTTTCTGGTAACTGACATCAGGAAGTTCTGTGTTTACGTAGAACTGAAAATCATGAGTCAAGATTTAGAAATATTCAATGTACGAACGGTGTCCAGAGTGTCTCAGATGTGTTGGCGATTATCGGAGGGTCTAGTTTCAGAGCTTCGTTCGTCGCCTATACAAAAATGAATTGGGTTGTGATAAAATGTCTCAGGATCAGGGCTTTCAAACGTGAATTTATAATACCGTGTTTAGTGACAAGAGCTCAGTATTAGTGCGAGTGTTTTTATGGCATCTAACCTTTTGATCTGCTAACACAGCCTTTAGAATTCTTCGCTGCAAAAAGTAAATTGATTTGAACAGAATAGAAGTAACGTATTACTTCTATTGGTGATCATATTTCCGCCTCGAAGAAGAAACTCCGTTAGGTTACTGGGCTTTTAATATTTGATTATTTCTAATAATATTTGAGTCAGTATAAAAAAAATGAACAATGTTATTTTTAAGAATATGAGAACGACGTCACGCGCTCATACGTGCGAAGACTATGCGAGCGATACCTGCGCTATAACGCATTTCATTACGTCTCTTTAATGCTTTAGCTATAAGGAAGTTTTTAAAATGACTCACGTAACCCGTTCTTGCTTATATAAAAAAGCCCATTCAGATAATGAAGTAGATTCCGTTTCACAAAGGTGGAAGATAACCGTTAGGCAATGTGAAGAGATTTTTATCACATCAGCTTGATGACATCCGGACCATCGTTGAGTTAGTAATATTGGTAAAATTAACAAGAATTTAGTAGTTCTCTGGTTTAGTGACGCGCCCAATATGAGACTACAGACTATTTATTTTTGATGTATGTTTTGTAATAAAATTATGGAGAATATTAATTAAAACGAAACGATGTATTTATTGTCAGATTCCACTTAATTTCGAGTTGCAGTGCCATCTCTCCCATTTTTCATATTGTATGACGCAGTAAACAGGTAGTAGCTCAATTTCCTTTAGTGTTCATTATCATTTTATTATATTTTCAGATAAATTATCTTGAAAATTTCAATGAGTAGAATTTTGGACAGTATGCAAAGAACAACTGTTACGGTGGAGCTTGGGAGTGCTAAAGAACTGAACACATTTCAAACAAACAATTTTTACGGAAATCAATCGGACGATTACAACTGCTTGATATTTCCACAAGAACTAGTTATCATCAGTCAAGTTGCGTCTCTGTTTGTTGGAGTTATATCTATCTATGTGGTCTTTTCATTATCTTTGCACCATTTTCGAGCTAAGCGTAATCACAGAAAAGCGGGATGGATCAGTCGAAGAACGTCAACTGTTAATCCAGACCAAGAAAAAAATGGAAAATTGTACAAGAAAATTATGAATTTACAGATGATAAACGCGGCGTTTTGTATAGCAGTTAGATGCGCTTTAGATTTTGGTATTCTGCAAGCTGGTCATATTCGAAATCCGCAGTACGTTACATTTTCGAGAATCGAAATTTTGTTAAACATTGCTGCCTTATCAAGCATGTACCTGGTTTTATGGCTTCGACAATGGTCTTTCTATAACCATCCCGCTATGAACGAGGGGAAATTTAAGAAATTGCGAATCATTTGTATTCTACTTCTTTTCGTCATGATAGCGACCGGTGTATGGAACGCAGTAGCGTTTCTTCTTGAAAGGGATATAAAAATCGATGAAATGGGATGCATACAAACAGACACGAGTGGAAATACAATGATCAAATTTTATATCCTCGGAGCATGTACTCTTTTCTATCAGATCGTTCTGTTAACGTTATTTGCATATCCTCTTGCACTACATGCCAGAAAAAACATATCATCAGAATGCTCTAGAAGAAGGTCGGTTATGCGAGTAATTCGACGAGTATTTATCGCCACATTATTGTGCTGTTTTACTGATCTCTTGGCTACTGTATTATCAGTAGTTTTGGAAAATGCTTATCCAGATTCGTCATTTATTGTGTATAATTTTAATGTCGCAGGTAATTTTCTTTGTTTAATGTATACATTCAGTGACTGGAGACTTAGATTATTTTATCCATTTATCATGTGCAAACGAACTGTACCTGCATCATGGAAAGAATCTATGACCATGAACTCTAATGCAAGCATCAGTCAAACTACCTGATGTATACATTTCTGGTTTAATGTATTTTACTAACGATAGCCTTTCGCTACTAAGGATAATTTTAAATTTGGCAATAATGTAGAAATACTGTAAAATATGCTCCCTTCTCAACTTCAAAATTATTGATGATCGCATGCATACTACGAATCAAATATAAAAAAAATCGGAGTCCATAATTTCATTTAGCATTGATACAATCTTGAGGCACATACTTTTATTTCAGCCACATTGAGTCAGGAATGGAAGTTTCCTAACGACATCACATTTTGTTGTAGATAATTTGATAATATGCAAGAACCAAGTGGAAAATTACGTTACAAATATTTCATTGCCTATTTATATTCAGTTGTTTTAAGTGTTTAGTCTTATTTAAATATCGAGATATTTATATGCACCATATGAATTATTATTAAATTTATCCGTTTTTTTGTTAGCTGATCAATGATGGATAAATGGGTTATGAACTTTTGGGTATAAGGGGCTTAAAGAGAATTGTAATACTTAGCTTAGTGCAAATGCCAAACCCCGAATGAACGCTTCGGCTGATCTATCCTTGAATATGTTTCTATCCCTCAATAATGTTTATTCAAATCTTTATATGCAAAATAAATCATGGTTAACATCCTTTCGGGGGCCGTATATGTACATACCATGACTTATTCCGCATTGTAATAATTCCATCATAGGGCATATCTCTAGAATGACACATAGAGAATGATCTAAAAACGAACCTATAATACCACAGAATGGTTTCGCATATGCAAAACACATTCGTCATATATGAGATATGGATTTGGTGTCATTACCTACATTTTAGTAATCGAATACAATTTCATATGTGTGGGAACATAGCCAATGTGCAGAAAAGAAACTAAAAACCAAACCAGCTAAAAACCAAACGCTTGGTTCATGCAAGGTCAATTTGTCATGCATTTGTGTACCACGTAAAACGCCACGGAGATGAGTTTTATTTTTGTTTCAATTTTCGGTTTCTATTTTCTAACTCAAAGTTCACCACTTATACATATTACATACTCGGTTTGTTTTTGTCGGATGTTGTCTCCAGAAATAAATACTGAAATTTATGAATCTCGAAATAGTAACAGACAACGAAAGTGTTGACCTTAAATGCTGACGCATAACATGCAAAACACAATAATATTACGTCACAAGAGGGGAACTTGGACAGTATAGCCTAAATTATTCTGAGTCGCCTTCTTGGCGCTCCGGAACATTGCGTACTAATATGGAGGTAACTAATTTTGTTCGATAAAGGGACTGAAACCTATGGGCAGGGGGATGGATATTCACTTGGCTAACACAGACAGTCCCCCAACTCGTAATAATAATAAACTAAAATAAGGAAAATAGGAATAAAATTATGGCCTAACCCTAACCTGGATACTACGGGAGTATCTTCGTTTTTGATTGGCATTGTTCAATATAAAATTTAATAAAAGCTTTGTGAAACTCGAAAAAGTAACAGACAACGAAAGTGGTGACCTTCAGTGCTAACTCATACCAAGCAGAACTCACCACAATACTATGTATTACGTCACAAGGGGGAATAGAAGTATTGTGAGTCGTATTTTTTGTTTGGCTTTGTTCAAAATAACATTTTATAAATGAACTGAAAACAAACTTCAGTCTAGAATGTCAGTCTAACGTCAGAGGAAATATTACGGTGGTTAGCTATTGCTATTATTGTACACAGGAAGCTCACAAAAGATCAAGCGGTAATTCATTGCCTGGTTAATTATAGTACATTAACTCTTGCACGTATGAGTCCATAGTCGTATATAAGGTGTTTTGTTAGAACTAACATTATGTATTTTTCAACTAGGATTTGATTGAAAATAAGATTTCATATTTATAATTATCACTAGATGGATCAACAACTCTCCCAGAGACCCGGCTCGTGCGACATCACATATAGGCTACAGATGTTATGTTTTGATTTAAGATTGAAAGTCGATTTCAAGGTGCAGCCAAAATTACCTGCATGCTTCTGAATTGTTTGGAAAAACATGACCTTTGTAAACATGTCAAGAATCCGCGAAAATTCCCCTTCTATTCAGTATAATGCTTATTCTTCTACTACCGATAGAATTCACATAACGTCTACTCCAATACACCGATTCTCAACCGGGGTCATGACCCACGTCAGGGCGACGGAAACATTTTCAAGTGGTCTATTACTCTACCTATTAAAAATTGTTAGAGTTGACAAATTAGTGAAACCATTGTAGTAGCAATAAATGGTGATGCTGTTCTTGCTACTGAGTGGCAATTCTCATTTTAAATATAAAAATGGAAGAGTCTAGCTTAACGAAAAGATTTTTTTTTGGTTTTGTGTAGTTTTTCCCTTGCATTAAAAAGGTAATGAGCCACAGCATAAAGTGGGTCGTAAAAGTAAAAAATTGAATATTGAGTTTTATCTAATGGTAGCAATTTTTTTCGTGTAGGTGCGCCGTGGTTTTTTTTTCGGACAATTTAGCGCCGCAAGAATAAAAAGTTTGGCAAGCGCTGGCTTACAGTATAGCTCGTTGTATAAATATTATAATTTTTGATATCGTAATACAGGGCTGTGTACAGCATCGCAATCTATGCCTAATCGGTTTTTGTAGGCTTTCTCTACCCTTGACACAGACATTTTTGTGGCAAATTTATTTCTATATAATTTTTGGCGTGTACCGCTTGCATAAAGAGGTCTTCGTTTGCGAGAAGTCAACCTTAACGAAATCGAACGCAAATTAGTATGTCCCGTTGATGACGTAGAACTGAGAACTCGTCAGCGTAATTTAACATTAGGTCAAAGGCAATTGCAGCGTTCTGTGTACCTGTATTGAACTGTAGCATATGCTAGTTTTATTGGGCGGTGCATTTGGCAAATGCTGCAGTGGTTCAAATACATACTGATATCTTCAAATAATATCGTTGCAATAACATAAATTACAGTAAACTCAAAGTGTCGAGGTCCAGGTATACTCGATCTGCGGTCAATTTTCGTTGGAGCGGTTTTTAAAAATTAGAAAGTAGCAAACTAAGTCGATTTTATTTGAATAGTAAGCGTCGAAAATTCTGAATAAATTTATAGAAGCAAATTCATCAAAAAAAAAAATGTCTGTGATAATCCACCATTAAGAGTTCATTTATTGCCAAATTTGCCATATACTCGTATATGAGAAGTACCATCCGACCTAGAATGTACTCATCTCACCACGACAAGATATAAATATGAACAAAAAGTGTTTGATCTATCGTATACATATCCATGGCATCATTTAAACCCGTTTATGTCTTAATAAAAATGGAGTGCACAACTGGGTAAAAAATCTAACAGGGTAGTTGATTTTGATCGATAACCAGTTCAGGCTAACGACCGGACATGTAGACAAGAAGCGATAAACAAATGACTAATATTGTCACCGCAATGACGGCAAACTGTCAGCTTTAATGTTTGAAAAAAATGGAGCGAATGTAATGGGAAATGTTAAAATAGTTGTACCGAATTTCATATGCAGCTGTAACCGTTAATTATAAAAACCACCAACGTATTCGATGAAATATTGGAACCGTAGATTCATAGACAATTTGAAAACAAAAGTACGAGTCATGTAGCAAATTCTTTCATTTTTTAAATACTGAAAATATAAAAGTAATTGCTACAGTAGTTGATGAGAAAAGCGACCTCAAACTAAATTTTATCATAACGATCCATGAGTTAGTTTCCTGTCCAAACTAAACGCATGTTAGTGATATGCACCAATTTATTATGTAGGCTATTTCCTGAAATTCGAGTCGCTGCTCAAAAACAGGGTGAGTCTTTATTGGATGATGTAATATGTGACGAAACATATTTCCGCAAAGGTTTCATTAAAATTGATTATCAATATTTAAAGACTCAAAATAACTTGAGCCGTCTCGACGGATTTACTTGAATCGACCTCGACAAATCGACAGAGGGGCTTGGTATTATATTTCAAGACAATGCTGGTTTAGTCTCTTTAGGGGAGAAACGTTTCGCTATTGAACACTCCGTCAATTTTAAGTATGAATTATGTTAAGAAAGTATAGTTTCGAACTAATATTAGCAAGACCTTTTACTGCATCACTAGATGAGGATAATACATACAAATAACTTGAATGATTTTTGTTTCTCGCGTATGTTAACTTTTACCTCGATTAAGCTAAACAATAGATACAGATAGTTTGTTAACAATAAAATATAACGTGCGAGGTACTCAACGCTTATAATCACATTAAAAGTAATAAATAATACACTGCACAATAAATTTAATACACTCCATAATCTCAGCTAGCCAATCCAAAATACATCCATCGGGTTTCACAGTGCCCCCAGCGGAAAATCAAATAGAAAAGGACAAGACCGCGATGATCTAAAATAGGTAAGTAATATGAATGAGTATGCGACATGATCGTAACATTGAATTACAAATGAACATTGATAAGATTTAGACATTTCACAGCACATTAGAATATACTACATTATAGAAGAAGAAAAAACAAATAAGGTTAAGGTATATATCTTCATTTCTATTTCAATTTAATCGACATTCATCATCATTTCAAAATTTGAAAAATTGTTGCCATATTATACTCAAAAAGCAATGGTTTGGAGCGCTCTGAAGATATATATAATAAACATAGCGATCTACTTTTCCATGTAGATTCACGGTGCATATAGTTGTTTTAAATTTCTAATTTAAATACTACTATTCCTGAATACATATTTAAGAATTGTTTTTATGTTTATATCGTTGAATATTCCGAGAACGTAAATCGACAATCATTATTTACTCCTCCCAATTTAAATTATAATCATTTTAAATCGGGTACATTGTAAAGTCATGATGACATTATTTGCAGCAAACAAAAGTGAAAAAAAAATAACAGACAACAGTGATGGGATTCAAAATTTTGCATCGAACTCACTAGAACAGGTTCCCTTATTTCAGAAAATGTATATATCTCACGGGCCAAGAAAACTGTTTGCTGACTATTACAACATTCAAACCCCCTCAATCGCACCACTTGGTATATATAACTAAAATGCCAATACGCTAGTGTCAAAAATGAGGTTAGAATGCATGAAATCAAACATTATTACTCAAAAGATTTTGGGGAAAGAAACAAAGTATGTCAACTATTTTTCCTTTTCTGATAAACTATAAATCAAAATGAGATAATAATATAAAGACAAATGGGGACATTTCACAAAAAGTTAGGGCTTTAAATTGTCAATAGTTATAAAGTAGAAATTCGACAAAACTGGAAACATTTTATATATCATTCTGTTCCGGATACATATACGATGACATACAGCAGGTATTCTTTTTCCTTGGCTTGATCATTTGCATGTTACAAAGTTTGGTCAAATTCGGTAATACACCAATACATTCATAATAAACGTATGTTGTCTGTTAGGCTATATCGACAACAGGACAACACTAAAATATGCATTCTTGGCCTGCTTTACCATAGTCCTCCTTTGAAGATTATCTCAACATAAATAATAACATAACATTTTTATATTTTCCTTTTAAAGGCTATAAATCATTCGTCTATTTCTTTCTTTCTTCAACTATGACTTTTCATTGTAATCTTTGTTGACGTAACTGAAGCCATCAAAATCACTCTGATCCATGTTCATGATGAAAAGTTTGTCACAAGGTGTCAGTGCTAGTTTTTCTCTGGTGAACGCACGATCGAAATTGTTGGTGTCTTTGGGATTACCCTAAAATAGGATGGAAAACTATTAAATCTTGAACATTGGATTCAATAAACTTGACAGTCGTCTACGATTCCTCAAACGATGCATAACTTTATCAAAATTACCAATCCAATACAGATGTTTTCATTATAATATTAAATATAATATCAATTTGTAGGAGAAAAGACGATAAAAGCAGAATCACGTATGTATGCTCTTCAACAAATAACATTGATACGTTCACAGAGCACAAATGACACACGAAAATGACGAACGACGTCACTGAAAAAATGTATATATATATCACAATTATTTCATGAGCATACTTATTCTGAAATAGTCTGACAGCCTTCATCATGCTCCATTCGGAAAAGAATGAAAATATGAGTGTCGGCGAAATTACAGGTTGTATACATTTTCTAGTTTGAGCATCGCCAATGCAATTGAATTCACTCAATCCGCGATTGAATACAGCAGCTTGTTACAAGTAACGAATATACGGTAGTTGCTGACGACTTCAGCCAATATACTGCTGTGAGAATGTAATCTCAGGCCAGTATGCTTTTCAGAACATCTCAACCACATTTGCTCTGTTGTCCACCATCCAAAAATCTTCGCACTTTTCTACGTTAGTTTCCACATTTTATTATGATTCACTTACGCCATCATGCGTGTTGCGCGTATATGTGATTTCGAATTATGGAGCAAATTGTTCTGAAAGCTAATTACATTGTGATATTTGACATTATTTTTGTAGATTTCAAGATAACACATATCATTAATTGTGCATGTGCATGCATGCGTCATTCACAATGTTTTACTTCACAGGGCGGAGTTTGATTTTGAAAGCGCCATAAGCTTTGCCACATTTGTTGCAGCTTTGTAGGTAAACTTTATTTCTTGGCAAGAATGCAAGATGATCTTATTTCAATTCCTTTCCACTTAAACGCTCGACTTATATGCGTGATGACTCTGAGATTTGTAAAATTTGTATTATCACCCCGGACTGATGAACGAAATATCATGAGGAAATGTTAGCAAATTTCAAAAGTTAGTTAGTTTTCTACAAACTTTTTAAAAAATAAAGGAGACCTAATTCCAGTGGCTTCACATGTCCGCCTGTCAGTATGCTAACGTCCAGTAGAGCATGTGTTTGAATTTTTGTCACTATTACCACCAAAACGCTCGGCTTGAAAGCCGTGCAGCCTGGGAGCGTCCTTTCATTGCATAGACCAGTGGTCGGCAACCGCCGGTCCGCAGAAAGATGACACAAAAACGGACAATTCCCTAATAACACCACTGCAATCGAACCACGGCTTAAAAATATAGCACCCAACAGCATACCAGACAAACACAAAGCATCTGAGCTGCATGTCTGACTTCACAATTGCCATTTCAGTATGTTGCAATAATGTTGCGCCAATTGCATCCTTCCCGTCTGTATAAAAAAGTCTCACATCACTCCGAATGAAAAAGATCTCTTAAACCAGGGGTCTCCATCACGCGGCCCGCAGATCACAATTGTGAATCTTTAATTATGCTTATGTGCAGTTAAAGCAAAACTTGATTATTATAACCTTTTTTAAAGTAGTAAACCACAGTGAAGAACATTTATTCAGTAGTCAATGTTTTCAGAGTTTTACTGGTAAGTGTCCGAAAAAAGGCTCCAACGTTAGTTGTAGACTCACGTCGCACACTTGCGAAGTGTGGTAGTACTTATATTTGCGAGCAGTGTTTTTATACAATGAAAGTTTACGAATCGGCCCTCCCCGACACACGCCAACGCAAAACAAGGCCAAACATCGAGTCTCTCACCGCTACAAAACGGCGATAAATATCCAGCACCAGAAAATGAATATGTTTCGCGTCTCGTTTGGTGTAAGATTCAAGTGTAATTCAACAAATATATTCAGATTTCTTTTATTTTTCGTGTATTAATTTTGTCCCTAATTTGTTGGTCTGTGACCCGCGTCGTCAATAAAGTGGCCCATAAAATATTTTGAGTCGTAGACCCCTCCATTAAACAAAATGATTCCTACCAACAACGTGACTTCTGCTGGCTCGCATCTCACCGGTCATCCCCAGTCGGTGCTAATTCTAGACTTTTTGACAACCATAAAGTTAGCACATCTTGTAATAAAATTCGTTACAGCTAAATAGGGTTGCTAACCGTCCTTTATTTCAAAGGACAATCCTTTAATTAAGCTTTTTGGTCCTTGTCCTTTTTAGCATTTAGGAAAATATGCTAATTTTCCTTTATTTTTTCCAACGTCGTTTTGCCTGATAGTTATAGTACTGTGTTTGATATTGTTCCGTCCTTAAAAAATCGCCTCCATTTATGCATTTTGCAAGCTTTTGGTTATTCTTTTTAATTTTCGCTTTAGCCCGGCTCAAATAGCCAAAGAAATAACAATTTTATTAACATTGTTTGGGTCAATGTTAATAAACATCTAAATGAAAAACACATGAAGATTGTTTGAATAAATCTTTTTAGCTTGTATATAATTTTTATTTCATTGTTCTTTCCTGCAAGTTACAAAATAAATAATGACGGTAATCTATGTCCTTTATCGAAACTTTTCATAGTTGTCAACCATACGGCTAAACAAGCATCAATAATGTCAAACAACAATCAATACCCACACATAGCTACAGAAGCTTTACATGCATTGTTAGCTTTCCGACGTCGTATTTATACGAGACCGGGTTTTCAATATTGACAAATACAAAAAAATATCGGAGTAGGCTGGATGTGAGAAATACGTTACGTGCATCATTGTCGACAACATCTCAAAATCGTGAACAGTTAATGGCCAGCAAACAAATATATATATCGCATTAAATGGCATCACCTTTGTTTTTGAATCTATTGTCAACATGAAGTTTCTAACGCGTGTAATTTATTATAAGCTCGTTTGTATAAAGGTGGTCCGCCAAAATTTTGGTCAGGTTTTACCGGTCCGTCACTTAAAAAAGGTTGCCGACCACTGGCATAGACTACGTCGCATATACGAAGGTGAGAAGGGAATCCCCCCGGAATACGACATAATCATTCCAAAACGACTTCAGGAAGGAGTTTCCGACATTGTCATTTCATAAACACCAACTAAACCAACGAAATAACTGAGAGGGTCGTTGGGCCCTGGATTACGACATAGTCCTCTTTATCATAGGCATTTATATCAGGATAAAGACAAGCTACGTAATGATTAATTCGTATATGCGGCCTTCCTCCTCTGGATAAAACGTCATAAACGTAAATTGTTACGCTCATGGCACATATAGCATTGTGATAAGCGTCGTTCCGTTGTATTCAAGATGAAATGTGACTCGCATGATTCCAAGCTACCAGGGAGACCAAGGCTGTGCAGTCGAAGAATTTTAGTTTAGACTCGGGACTAGAAAAAATTTGAATCCAGGTTGTAAATCATTTTAACTGGAAATAATTTGACTTCTTCGAACACTATTTTGACAACGAAGACTTTGGCTTGTCTTCTTTAATAGAGTGTTAAGAACACTTGATACATTAAATGATGAGTTTTTGTAGAAGATTAATCATTACCAATATAACTATGAGGTTCCAGGAATTCAAAATATTGACTGGGCCAGTTCGAAAATAAGACTCTGGCTTCAACCCCAGAGACAACAAGCCAAACTAAGACTTCTGGCTTTACAGTCTTGGCCGAGACTCGCATTTCCTAGTGGACTGGAATTTTTGAAAACATATCACAGCTGAATTATAGCAATTCTGTCCCAAGTAACAGCATCCCAAGTGCCAAAAAGAAAACACTTCGAGCCCAATTTCCGTTTGTATTAAACTATTGGACATTTTAAAATTTCAATTTCGAAGTCGATATTCAAATAAAGTAGATTACTGTTAGATGTAAAAGGTCTGTGTGACTCCTTTGGTAGACTAGAATATAGAAAACACATGCACATTGAATCCTATATAGAAAACATTCTGACTATAGTCTTATCCAATGGATTTTAGCGTACAATTAAGTAATACATGCAAACAACAATATGGAAAATAATGAAAACAACTTCTATGAATAAAATCAACACAAATTATTTTATAATGTTTACATTAATAAGATCTAGAAATAAATGATGGAAGTTAATTACAATACATTAGAATATTATTATATATATAACAGACTACATAACAAGATTGCATCTTTCTTAATTGAGGAATGATTGAACGCGTATATTAGATCTACAAGGCTTTTAAAATACTAGACAACATTACTGATGGCTTGATATTATATATTATTTGAAAGATGGAGGGTTGCAACAAATCACATATGTAAAAGTATACTATAACACGATATTTTGATGGCAATTCCTTATTTTTTACGAGCTTGTTTGCTCCAAACAAGTCCCTTTCAGGCACTCAATGATATCTAACGGTATGTACGGAGCTACTTATTATATCGAACGACCTAAATTTTTCCTGTTTGGCACCGTCTATCCAATTTATGAACCTTGGGTGAGGTTGGGGTACGGGATTCGAACCAGATGTGTAATCAGCGATGCTAACACAGTCTATTGAACAGACATTGCATTAACACAGAAAATTTGTAACACTATATATTCTAAAATTGATATCAAAATTTACGGTATTCAGTCTCATAGACATGATTCAAAATAATTATAATATTTCATTATAATATTGTGCTTGGAAAAAAAACTGATCGAAAAATATGAAAGTCAAATTTTGGATTGAATGTGTTAGAAATATTTCAATTCATAGATGCAAAATTCCATTTCAGCCAATATAAAAATAATATTATTTTGGATACCATGAACAATTTAGTTGAATATACACCTTTACCTGAAAGAAATCTTCATCTGTAAGAATATTTTACTAATTTAATTTACAAGTATATAATGAAATACAATGACAGCGAATTTCTTTGAGCTAGAGTATTTTAAACTTGCCTAAACAACTATATCTGAACCCTAACTTCTGCATTGGTTCTTTATTTTAACACTATTCAAAAACATGATTGTATACTAAAATGAAAACATATCACACTGCATGTAGACTTTGCTTGGGAGTTAGAAAAATACAACAAAAAAAATAAAAGCTCATATTGCAGTGGTAATATACTTAGAAACTATGTCTGATGTAATAAATTTATTACATGCAATGAGATTTCCGAAACGAGCAGGAAATATCTTAAGTGTGGTTGTTGGAAGTGATTCCTTCTCACACAGTAGCAGAAAAAAAATTATACATTGCTCTTTGAATCTATGATATACATATTATTGATTACTATAAAATATGGAATGTATACAAACCTTATCTAAAAGTACATCAGAAATAGATGTTTTTGAACGTGCATTAGATGAATTTGAGAATAAAATGGCCATTTCAAAATTTCATTTACAGGTGTAATGCATCCTTGCAGTTTTAAACAAATTACAAAATCACTGACACAATAATTGAAACTATGATTTAGAAATTGATTGGAAAACTCGATAACATGATTATTGAAAAGTGGAATACTCGGAAGTATTGGGGACATGACAATGAATTCATTATCCGTGATGCTGAGCCAAGTCACCATTTATGAATAACTCAGAGTTACTCGATAGAATGACTGATACTTGTCATCAACTAACCGCCAGTGAGACTTAACTCATTGATTGGCTCAACTCAAGATTTTGATGATCTGTGACTCTGGGTTTAATGGCTTTTACCCAATACTGACCATCATTGATGGATACATTTATTGAAATATGACAAATTTCAACATTTTTACTCGTGAATACTGCTACACTAGTCATGGTGAAGGATACTTTCAGGGCAATTTATCTAATCTCACTTCAGAGCCAGCAATCATTAGAAATGTACAAAAATTATGAGCCATCACAAACAGCAATGACTACGATGTTATTATTGAAAGGGAGATTGTTCAATTTATCAAATATAGATGAGACACTGTATGGTTACGCTTAGACTTCGTATTTTTTTTGTAATGCATCTAATGGCGCATCGTGCACAACACATACTGATTTTGAGTGTAAGCAATAAAACACTACTTGATCCATACATTAGGCATGCGCTTGTAAGGCGCCACGCAAAAGGTTCGTCTTATGGCCCGTAAAAAACTAGTAATAATTTCCCGCCCAAAAAACCTAACTTAAGTGCTAGATTTTAACTCAAAATGGTCAAATTATCAATTTCATAATGAGCCACCGTTTTTGGACTATACCATGTTCTATTGATTCAGTAGAGTAATTATCAACACTCAATTCAACTCAATTTGTAATTTCTAGGTTCTACTTCCATTTGTACATGTCATTATCATTCATTTTTAGATTGATTAGGCGTGATTACATATAATTTGGTGCCACAAATTGTATAAATATTCTGAGGGTATACTCGGATATTTTAAACATTGAAGTTTATAAGTTTAGTAGGTAGAGCACAGTCGCAGTATCTATTTTTGTTCTTGAGTATTCAATACAGTTTTGCACAACGGAAACCATTTAATTAATTTTAAAATCATCAAAATAATTAAAAAAATATTACTACATTTTTCTCAGCGTGAGTGATTTAAAACTCATACAACAGTATCTTTCTCATCATACATGCATAATGACAATTTTTATAGTTCAAACATTGTTACGTAATTGAGATAATTACGATACAAGATCGTTGCGCGTTTTCGGGACAAAAACGTCGTTTAAGTAACTGAATCCGCTAAATTCTCCTTGATCCATATTTTTTATGAAAAGCGGATCAATCGGAGTCAACGTCGGCTTAGCGCGAGTGAAAAACTTGTCAAAGTTTTCAGCGATATTTCCAGTCTACAAAAGTACGTCATAAAATATAAAAACGTGTAGATGAAGACACATATAACATACATGATCATAGGACAATACAACAGTAATGAAATTACGACAAAAATATATCAAAACATGCAAAAATGTCACATAAACGTTAATATTTTTCCAGTGATCCGATGAAATGTGGCGATCATTTTTGTTGAGCAGTGTTTTGTTGTGTTCCCGAGGACAAAATGGACATAAACGTAGCATTGGCAAGCAGCAGATGATGCACAGTGAGAACAAGATGATGAGCATGAGCAAAATAGAAAATATATCAATGAGATTCAGTCACAATTTGCTTGTAGCGTTCTAATACAATATCATGTTGATAGTGAAAATTTGAACACACTTATTATTATTATTATTATATTACTTAATTATGGGCCTGGTAAATTTTTACATTTCAAGATTTTTATATGACATTTCTATATTTATATTTTTATAAAGACTCAAACAAGGTTCTGAACAAAGGGCCATCGATAGGAAAGGATCAAAATCTCTCACATCATTGCACAAATGTCAAAATTCTTTGAAAGCCAAAATCAAACAATCGACACAATCATCACAATACTTATTTATTCAGGTATAATTACTGATGAATGAAGTTTTACCTACAAACATCCATCTTATCATGATTAATCAAGATCGAGTTAGTATTGAAACTACCTACTACAGAATTATCATATCGTTTCCATAATGCTTTTTCTCTCCATATTTATCCAATATTATATCAATCTATATTTAAGGTAAAAGGCAATCTAGCGATAAAGATAATGCATTCTTCTGGAAAATCCTTGAAAATATCTCGATTAGCAATAACATTAAAACACTGACACTAAAGCATCTAATTCCCCAATATCCAATATGATATGCACCAACATATTAAATTTGCTCAATTTCTTATTATAACCACATGTTCTATTTTAAACATGTATGAGAATGTAGGAAGAAAACACTACACACAAACCAGGCACTTAGAGTTTGATTCCACACCATGCAAAATGTATTCACTCATTCAAACCAAGACCAATAATATTATTTTAGGCTTCGAGACAAGGGAACAGAACAATGAATAAAAATTAGAACTTACGATTTTAGGTTTGAATGGAGGTTGAATCTCAAGAGCAGCAATCTTGTCCCATTTCGTCATGCGGAAGAAAGCATGATCAGTGATTTCTCTTTGTCCGCCTTCTCCGCATCCTAGTCGTTTGCTCGGATGCTTCTGGAGCAACTGTAGAATTCAATAGTTTAGTTCAATTTATTTTACACAAGCTGGACATAGTGTTGGAGAAACACAAACTGAGTATTAATTCGACCCACCAGTTTCAGGGACAATGTGACTCGAGTCACCTCTGAAGTGACAAGACTCATCTGAACAAAATTGCTCTATTCATACTCGACTAACCAGCCAAGCGGGAAGAAAGTAGAGCCATTAAATCAAACTCGAGTTACCATTGAATTACCAGAGCACACTTGAACTAGGTTAACCAGCATAGGTAGGAAACTAGAGGGCAGAAGCAATGACATGATTTGAGTCAAGGTAATGTTACCAACAAAGCTAAGACTCACAACTACCGATGGTTGCCTTCAATAACTCAGGTCGAGTCATTTCACTCAAGTTGAGTAATATTGAAACTGACTGAAGTTGTGTATAAAACAATTTGTTTTCAATCTGTGTGAATTACTCTTTATATGCAATACAATGAATATGGTACAGATCTAAGAAATAAAATAGAAATCTTACCCCTTTACACATTCCTACAGCTTCTTTGGACATAGATCTAGGATAAGAAACACTGTGTTCCATGATAGATTGAAACAATTCATCCTCGTCTTCTCCATCAAAAGGAGGCTTTACAAAAATAAAATGAAAATTTAAAAATGAAATCTTGTTCTTTCAAATAAATTTGTAATCAAATACGATCAAGTGCTCAGAATATTTGATTTATCAAGTTAAAATTGAAGTTTCTGTCTCCAGGGAGTTAGAAAAAGAGATTAGAGTGAAAGAATGCCCGAGTACAACTTCACAGCCCTGGTTTTACCACTCTAAACAGAAAGTAAATCCAGTCCAGAATCATAGTCCCCAGTCATTACAAAATTATTATTAAGGTTTATTAAGGTTAAGTTATTACTATACTATTATTAAGGATAAGGAGCAATAAACACAATATTCACCAATTCGAGTAAATTATTCGGAAATTCAGTGATTGCTATTGATAACTCATTTCAAATTGAAATGATAATTTGATCTTCAATCATACCATTTTGACCTAATGAATTAGTTTAAACCAACTCAATTACAGGCTTTAGCGTGTATTTGGAGAAAAGCTAAAAACATGAAGGGTAACTAAAACGATATTGACAAATGTAGATGGAGGGCATTTTTTGGTTTCAAAATTTGTCTTTTTATGCGAAGTAAAAGCATCTGCTGATACATACTATTTTTGAAAATGACCAAAAATTTCTGGTTCAGCATTGACTATAATTTATTACTCCCTGGGTATCGTGATGGGCATGAGATTTGAACACGAGATCCTGTGATACCACATTGTTAGTTCCAAGTTTTAAACTACTAGGCCAGCGCATTATTGCAAATCATACAAAGTAATGTTTACCTGTCCAGCAAGCATTTCATACAGCAAAACTCCATATGCCCACCAATCCACAGATTTTCCATATGGTTGATAAACTATGATCTAAAAATGGTGTGTGATAACAAGATTACTCTAGAGCGGGTTTCCCGAATTGGGGTCTGCGGGTCTGTGATGACTGCACAGGGGGTCCGCATCGATGTGAATAGAGTCTGGTCGAACTTTAATGAATGATTTCAATCAAAATATCATTGTATATTTTTGGTTGATACGAGAAGAATATCCACCGCCGTCAGAATAGGCAGTATAATGACAAAATATAGGTCGAAACGTGTCGTAGTGTTAGACCTACAATTGCGCTTGTCTAAAATTGTGACGTGAAAAGCGACCACATCTATCACAATAATGTCATTTGTGTTGTAAATCAAACATTATCCTTATACGTTGGTTGGGCACAGAAATTGATACGACATAGAAAGGACTCGAAAAGTTTGGGAAACCCTGTTCTAGAGAAATATAAATCTCTGCTATATTGTACTTTGCATCGATGGGTATCCGTTTGCACCAATGTACACTGCATCCTTGACACCCATTTTAGTTGTATATCGTTCAGAATCATTTGAATCAATGAATCAATGCTAAGCAGCAAAATGATAGCGATTGGTGTAAATTGCACGAGACAAATGCGGAATATGAGTGGAAGCGAAATGGTCAACGTGCAAAAAGTACAATGTATGTAAAATGTATGTGGGGTATGCTAGTACAGCACACACCAGGGAAGAGCTTCCCAAACCTGGGCCACAGGAGGGCCATGATACAAAGCCACAAATCATAATGTTTGCAACTATGGCACTAGAGTGAAATAGTACATAATGCTATGTGCTGAAAGCTATGTGGTAAACAAGTTGCAAAACTAGTTGATAATCTACTGGACTAAATTTATTTGCATAGGATAGTATTTTTATATTTATTCCAGGGTAACTACGTCCTCTGGTCCGGTTACCAGTTCATGAAGTTTATGAAACTAGTCAACCAGTTTAAGTGATTCGCCACAAAATTAGGCTGTCTTGTCAGCTTTCCTCGCCCCAGGAATAAATTTGAAATCGTATAAAAATTTTGAAATTTCTATTAAAATCTATCTGAGAGGGTGGTTGGTGAATTAATCGTGAGAGTGATAATACCAGTATGAAATTCAACTGCACCAATGCATGCACAAATAACTAACTACAAACAACGAATAGTACCTCTGGTGCTATATAATCAGGAGTTCCGCAGAACGTGCATGTGGTGTTTCCATCTTTAATGTTTTCTTTACACATGCCAAAATCAGCGATCTTTATGTGACCAGCAGCATCAAGCATCACATTGTCAAGCTTCAAATCTCTGTGCATCGAATATTTGTAATATCACAACATACAAGCAAGACCTCGAAAATAGTCATAAATTTTAACTATTCTATTCGTAACCATGCATCATGCTTTGAGATGTTGTTTGTTATTGAATATGCAGTGGAATCATGAACCAACACCATGTCCCTGCTACAGCATGTGGGAGAAGTCAGCGTACTTCACATGATTGTCTTGCCTTGAGTTACCGGTAAGTGTTAGACATGATTGGGTCAAATCGATCATTCATATTATAAGGCTTTAATTAAACATTGAAACACTATTTTATATGAAACAATTAAAGTGATTAGTGAATACATTTAACTTGTAATTAATATGTAGTTGCAAGACTTTTTTCTAAACCATGTCAATATTTCTATATGTATTAATAAAAACAAGAAATATTTATATTTTTATCAAATTGGGCAAAATGAAGGATTTTTTTACCTATAAACAATTCCTCTATCGTGCAAAAAGAAAAGGCCAAGAGCAATTTCAGCAGCATAGAACCTGAAATGAATGAAATATTAAAACAGAGAAAAGAAACATCAAACAAATAGAAATAAAAAAGTTTAGCCTATTGTAATCTTTTTACGAAGCGCTCTCGCACATTCACAATTACAAGATGGTGTATAAGAAGCAACTGTTAAGTAAGAAGCTAGTTTCTTAGAAATGGAATATTTTTGGTTCTGCATCGCCTACCAAACAAAATTACACCATAGGTGAGGTGGAGGGCATGGGCATGGGATTGAACCAGAAATCTTTAATATGTGAGGACAGAATGCTTCATATCAGAGGCTAATCAATTTTCCTTCAACTTGGATAATCAAATTCAACTTCAATAAATAAATGAATTTTTTATTCATCAAAAACAAATTAAAATGCTTTATATAGACAATCCAGACTCTGAGAAATTTATTTGTCCTCAAAAAAGTACAGGGGGGTCCTTGGGTTACGACAATCGCGATGTTTCAAGGTTACAAACGCGCACTCCATAACGCTGTTTCGAGGTTACGAACGCACTTTACAAACATATACAGATATAAAAGATATACTGTACTGTAATATCAAAGCCTATAAACTGGATCATTGTGATCAAGAAAATTAGTGCTCTGGGCTCATTGGTTTTTGTTATTTACATCGTAAATGACGTGACCAATTGCAAACTAATATGATTATGAACGAATAATCATCAAGCTTCAGTCACATGGTACAGTACAGTACTGTACACAGTTTCAGTGATACTGTACGTCATTTTGGTTGTTTACACCGTTTTTTTCGTAACTTGTTTGATTGTTTTTTTTTTACTTTTGCCCTTTGTTATAGACTCAAAGCAAAAAAAAGATGATAAGATACTGTACAGTGTTTGCTTTTATTCACATGATGTGGAATTGTTTTCTGTTTTTCTAATAAAGTTCTTATTCGCATTATTTGTACATTTTATTAGTGTACAGTACCATACTTTACAATACAGTACGATGTGTATAGAGTAATTCATGCACTGTACCCACTGTACAGTATAATGTTCCGACTTACACTGAAATTCGGGTTACACCGAGTCTCAGGAACGAAACTGAGTCGTAAGTCGAGGACTCCCTGTAGTTAACTCAGTCATAGCTCTGTTGAATATATATTCATACAACAGTACCAAATTTCAACCACCCTCTGATCTGAATGAGGCAGATACCGTTATGCATGGTGGGATGGCCTGAATCTTTACTATTCAGTGCATAAGCTATACTTGATCATCATATATAATAAAGTTCTTACACAGCTTGAGGTTCTTTGAATTTTCCTACTTGTTGTATGTGGAACATCAGATCACCACCGTTGATATATTCCATAACAAAATACAGGCGATCCTAGAAGAATTAAAAATGATGATTTAGAACTTGCAAATGAACAGGAAAGCAATGAATGTTTCCCCTAGCAACGACTTCCTTCAGGAGTCTAAAAGGCGATAACAATCGTAAAACTAGCTAAGATAGATTTCCACACACGATCGGCTATGAAGCCAGAGCTAGAGCGCCGAACCTCAAGTTTGAAGCCAGATATTTCAAGCCAGCTTCGCCAGCCCCATATTGACCATGGGGTACAATAAAAACTCAACATACCACAGTTTGAAAGCAGGAATGAAGTTGAGTGAGGAATGGAGGTTTTTGACTCAGTGCGAGCACTCTCTTTTCTATCATAGTACATTCAACATCGTCATCTTGTACAATAACATCTTTCTTCAGTACTTTTATAGCGTAGATTTCTTCCGTATCTTTCTTTTCCGCAAGAAGAACCTGGACAGAGAATGGGAAAGTTCCATCAACATTATATCAGAAGCTAATTTTCAAGATGATAGCGCCATTTGTAGCATACTTATAGTCTGAGGTCTACCACCCCCACCTGCCACCAGCGTGAATAAAAGGAAGCAAATGGAGCTCCTAAATTCCTCCTAGATTCCTCTTCAGCCTAAACTAGTTAACAAATATTGAGAGGATGAAGGAATTTTGAGAGGAAGAGTCATTCAGACAGAAAAAAACAGCAATTTCTACAATATCTTGAATACGATGCAAGAGAACATTGTTTTGTTTGATTTCCTAATTTTTACAGTGTAAGAAGTTAGTTGTACCGACCATCAGATTTTGAATGCTGATAATGATAAATATTTTCAAGCGAAATTGTTCTGAAATGACTATACTATACAATACAATGTCACCGATATTCATTCATACCTTTCCAAAACTTCCGCGTCCAAGTACATGCAAGAAATTGAAATCTGTTGGTTTCATTTGCTTGACAATTGCTCCACCAGAAGAGGTTTGTTGCTTCTCTTGCTTTCTCCTTTCATTTTCCCTTTCCTTTGCTTCTTGAATGCGAACTTCCTACAAAAACAAAGATATTCATTGATTGACAACTTCAAGCTAGATTCATTTATTTATCGAGTTTAACATTATGTCTGATTGTATGTTTGAGATTTGCTCTTTACTTATTTTCAGAGTTAAATTACGCTTCAACAACAACATTATAACTTTGAACCCAGCATGACCTCCACAATCACTGTTGTCGAATAGGCGTGTAATTTTTTAATTAACTTTTCAATTGTTCTCGCAGGATTTAATTATTCCTCACTAAACTGCAGGATACTCATTGATTGGCAGATTTAATTTGACTTCCATATTGTTCTTTGAGTGTCCATAATTGTATTTTTCACTATTGTAAGCAAACCCAACGATGTGATAACTATTACTTTTATGGATGACTTTTTTTGTCACAGTTCAAATATCCTTGTCTGAAGAAGTCCGACCTTAGTCAGACGAAACGTTACAGAAATATATTTGTGTTAGTGTGCAGCAAGACTCTTGAATAAAATAGTATAAAAACAGGATAGAATCTCACTTCAAACATTTTTGTAATCTTTTTAACTTCTTCTTCTTTTTCATCATCAATTATTGGTACATTGTAAAATTCACCTTCTTGTTGAGTAAGAAGTTTAAACCATCCATCTATCGGATTCTTCATCAGTTCTAAAAGACAAATGAATTTCAACATTTACTAATGGGCAGGGTGGGCCAAAAGTAGGGATATGAAAAACAATGACATTTAATAGGGTGCCAGTAACCCCGCTTCAGGTGGCAAACCAGAGGAAAATTTACAATCAACTACAACTTTCGGTCAAGAAAATTTCTGAATCTAATCTAGGCAAATTAAATTATGATAACAAAAACTTCGCACACAATTCATCTTTAATGGACTGTTAAGAGCGATCAGTAAACTGTAGAATGTTTTGACTTCTTTTATCAATTTTAAGGTCTGAAATTCTGAAAGATTTTGACTAAATAGGAATTATACTTGAACCGCATAGTATCCCAAAATAAGTTCTAGACTGAATAGTACGTTGTGCAAAGCAATAAAACACCTTGCGATCACACCTCTGATTACTCTGCATTGATTCAACCAATCAAATTCTGCGGAGGATAATAACCTATAAGAAGATTGGTCGCAAGGCATCGCAAGGAAACAAATACCCAGTTAATCATACGCATACCTGACCATGAACTGTTCCATGAACTTGATATTTTCTCCCAGAGATTTATTTAAAAATTCATATTCTTAAAAGATGAAAATTATCATACCTGATATCCCGAATGACAACGACCCCATAAAATCATTACTCGATGCCAAATCCCAGTCCCAAACTTCAACTAAAAGTCTCCGATCCTTATCTGTGTCTCGTAATGTACTGAAAAACAAGAGATCAATGCTCAAATATAAGGACACAAATCAGTAGCGATACAGCCTGAGAGCAGCGAGTTTGCTTTCCGGATATATTGACAGACAGGAGGATTTAAAATCAATACAATCAAATTTTGATGATAAAAACCTTGGCTATGAAACCCTTTTTTCAATGACTATTAAGAATGCTTAATTCACTTAATTCTTTTTGAGCCTTTTTCTGTATCATACATAGCAATTAGCATAGCAACCCCTCCTGGCCACATCTCTGTGAGAACATGCCAAACTTATATTTCTACACCCCAGGATTCCATTCCTTGACATTTGATAATATACTCACAAAACTAATGTTTCATTCCACTCAGGGTTGAGATTTTTTTCTACAATGGTTGTTTTCCTTTTCCAACTGTTGTTTTTCATATCTTTCTTCTGTGGTGGGATCAACTTGATTTTCACGTATGGATCAGACAGTCCATTAGGATCCATTGGAGCAAGATTTTTTGCTGCTTGAACTAAATAAAAATCATACTATAACATTAAAAACAATTGGAAAGGCTTGTGCTAAAACTGTATGTGGACAAGGATGGTGGAACAACTACATAGCCAGGATAAATGAACATTTGGGATAGACTGTCAAATTTTCCCAAGGAGGTATAGGATTCATATTTGGTGATGGGTGAAGAGTCATATCAAATCAAATTCAATCGTAGAATCAAGGACAATATACCCTATCTACTAAGTGTACGCCATCACTCAAATGAGTGGTTAGTGGTGAAAGCATTGAACGTAATTAACAATGTTGGTATTGCAGTTTGAAAATCTCGGTTTCAAAAACCATGCTGACCACCTCACATTACGAGGTACTCCCGTAGTATGTGTACCATGTTAGGGTTAGGCCATAATTTTTTTTCTTATTTCCCTCATTTTGGATCTATTACGAGTTCGGGGACTGTCTGTGTTAGCTAAGTGAATATACCCCCTGGCCATAGGTTTCAGTCCCTTTACACAACTTGATGTAAAAAAGGTGAACAAAATTAGTTACCTCCATATTGGTACACATACTTGTGGAGCGCCCATTACGACGTAACGGGAAGCTATTTTTAAGCAAATAATTAACAGCTCCTTAGATATCAGTAGTTGCTTGCACAGAGCCTTGTTGAGAGTGGAAAGCCATAAAAAATGCTCTTCTGTCCAAACAGTGCGCATATTTTTTAACCAATGAACTTGAGTTCATATTTTCACCTTCCAATAAGTTCTGCATATTTCAAAGTCGAGCAAAACTTTTTGCAAGATAGGAGAGAATATCCCCTTACATGAACGATGCAGCGAGCCAATGAATAGGACTGCAAGAAAAGATACACCTCATTCATAATAGATGAGATTTTAAGCACAAATAAAAGTGAGATAAAAAAGAAATAGGTAATGGATTACAAATAAACCTCGGTGAACCTATAGGTTAGTAGAAATAGAGAAACATGTACAACATCATTTAGGAGGATTTAAGGTTCTTTTTGTCAGTAATAAACATCAACTATTGTAAGTCAATAATCTTTAAATAGCTTATCTTATTGAAATGTATTTTTCGTAAAAATACTGCAAAATTAATATTTTTTAACGTTATTCATTATTATTATTATACCTGTAACAGCTAGTTTTCCGTCACCAATCTCAGCTTTTAGTTGAATTCTCCCTCTTTTCTCAGTGTGATCACGTCCACATAATGCAGGCACAAAGTTAATGCATCTCTTGTGGACATTCATGTTACATGCTAAAATAGAGATTAAGAAAAAAGTGACGAAAACTATTCAGATGGAAATAATCAAAGTGACATAAGAAAAAAATATCTCAGATATAAATGTCAACAAAAAATATTAAATTTCAACTGGGCCTAAAACCTGACAAAATAAAGCATGCTGGATTTTTCATATGTCATTATTGGTATCTATTATTTATGAAGGCTACCATCGAATCGTATACACCCGGGTTCCAAAACTGTGATACTAGTCCGCAGGAACAAACAGCCCACAAAATCATTGAGAGACTATATATTAAATAGCCACAATTGAAGAATAGTAAGTTAGCAACTTGGTCAATCAAAAAATAGAAAAGTTAAAAAAAACTTGTTAATTAAGTAGAATTACAAACTTACAAACACATTTCATTCCCTGACGAACTAATCCATAAAGTAATGATCCACAATGATCACAGAACGTTGGACTTGTGTAGCTGGCAATCTTGAATTTGTGTTGAGAGCTGGGACACTGAAAAAAAAGGGTAACTATTTAGTAAGAAATACTCAAAAATTATTATTTTTTATATGACATTTTCACACCTCTAAATATAAAGGTACTGTACATATGGGCATTGATGTGTGAAGGCTACTAATTTTAGGCCAGTTTAATTTCAAATGGCTGACAAACACTTTCAGACTAAACAAGATGTTCAGATACAAGGAAGTTCGCATTCAAGAAGCAAAGGAAAGGGAAAATGAAAGGAGAAAGCAAGCAACAAGTTTGCAGTAAAGATCGTCAGACAAGCAATATGAGTCCCATGGTACTTAAGAGGAAATTTCAAAACAAAAATAGAAGTAATAGTCTTCTACCGATTTATCCTATGTTTAATAAAGTCTAAAATATTTGAAATCGATTGATCCATTATTTGTGGAGAGAAGCAATATATTCATATCAGTCCATTCCATGTCCAATTAATGAAACCACAGTACCACACATATAGAATTACGTAGATATTATGAAGAAAATTTTCCTTTGAATCATGATCTCCCGATTCTTAATAGAGTTGCTAATAACTGATTGCAATATAGCCGAGAAAGTTGAAAGCTTTTTTTTTAAGAAAGATTGCAAAATCACAGATGAATATGATTAGAATAAATAAATTTTGATGATGAATTTCATATTCAACATTGTTTGATTTCAGATTGTATCAAGTATGAGTAAAAATGCTTTGAAATCATAGATGTACGGTATTTAATTTACAATTTTCTAATTTGAATCGTTAAAAATATTTCTATGGTTTACTTCCATCATGAGGTCAAATGAGTAAAACCTGTCAAGAAAGGTCTTTAGTAAAGGTCGTAATTACAAGATGTTAGTACCGCATGCCGCAAGATATTTGGAAAAAAACAATGCCTCATTCTCCACTAAGATGCTTTAAATGTCAATTGTGCTACATGAGAGTGTGTGAGGAAATGACACAATGTGCCTTATATTGTGTATATAGTATGGATTGCCTTTCATAAATGTGTTTTGGATGGTACTACTTCCGTCACAAAAATGTAATCTTACCTTATATGCGATAAACAGTAAGTAGCTGCTAATAATCACTATATGGCTTAATTAGCGACCATATACTATATAATTGTTTACAATATCATACCTTGGTGGTAAAAACCAAGGGTTTCTTTCATGACAAAACGACAAATGTTGAATTTCAAAAATTATTTGAAGAAATTACAAGAAATAGATGCTTTTCAAGCTGGTTTTCTAATTAAAGTTTGAAGGGATATTACCTATAGGAATTTCAAGAAAAAGTTGCAGAAGTTTGAAAATCAAAAATAGGTTATCCTAGTTTAAAACAGCTATTTTCAGGTTTTGTCTTTTTTGGTTGAAGCACTTCACAAATTTTGTTTACCATCGAACCAATGGCAACAATACAAGACTAAAAAATTACTAAAAGTAGATGTTTGACATTTACATAAAATCTGTAGATAAGTGGTGGCGGCGTGGTGTGTAAATGTGTAATAACTATAAAATAACAATAAAATATTACAGTTCACTATACAGAGTGTTGAAAAAACTCATATTTTTTTGAATTTCAAAGGAAATTTATCGATACCATATAAGTTTGTTAGTCTCCTCAAGTGTTTTAAATGGAGTAAAAAAAAATTTGAACAAACACATCAAAATAAAACAAACCTGGTTAAGATATTATAAAAACTGACTTCATGACAAAATTAAAATTATAATAGGACTTTATGAACACTCCGTAACTTCTAAACTTGTAAAACAAAGAAAATAAAAATAAAATGTTCATCCCAACATGTTGTATGTCATGTATATAAGCATGAAGCAAAGATAGGAGATATAAATACGCTATTTGGCTCTTTCTCTATTCAACATGACCCAATTCGGAAACCAAAAAATCAATGTTAATAATTTTAGGATGAGGAAATGAGACAACCACATAGAACATAGTGAGTGCGATGATACACAGTTATATAAAATAATTAGTTTTGAATAGAGAATCGACAAAATAAATGACGTCATATATTTCAAAAAACTTTCTAATAATAATGGTACTTGCGGATATAATACACAAACTAGGTCACCTGTTGTAATAATATCTACCAGTATATATATTTGGATACAGAGTGTACTGATAGTTTTCTCATTATGTTGTTGTTGTTCTTATTAATGGTATTTTTCTTCTTTTTGTTATGAAAAAAAAATCGCTGTTCTCATTAACTACTGGACTAATTGCTTTGAAATTTTCAGGAGTTGAAGATTGTATTTTTCGCTAGAAGGAAATTACCTCATTTATTTAAAACTTTTTGTGCTCAACGTGATTCATAATTTTGTGTGATGACCTCTTAGAAATTCTTAAAAATTATCTGAAATTATTTGTTCTGATATCTCTCTCGTGGTGCTACGCAAGAGTCACAAATTTTTTGAGTGTACCAAGTAGTATTAAATATATTTATAAGGAGGGAACACTCTCTCCAAGTAAATTGAAAATGAATATTTAATCTTAATTATATCTCTGAACAAGAATGTTTATCGTAATGAGCACCATGACATTTGAAATCAATCTTTATTGATTTCTTGATTCAAATTATGTATAAATGACTGTTGCTGAAGAATTAGAAAAAAAAACTATGTTGAAATAATATTAGACTTGGATATATCTTGCAAGTCCACCAAGTCCAAATTACAGCGCTCCAGAAGTATGTGTACCAATATGGCGGGAGCTAATTTTGTTCACCTACTTTACAATAAGTTGTGTAAAGGGACTGAAGGCTATGGGCAGGGGTATATCCATTTGGCTAACACAGACATGTAAATCAGAATAAAATCATGGTGTAACCTAACCCTAACCTGGTACACATACTACAGGAGTACCAAATTACAATTGAATAACTAAGATATAGTTGATGAAACCCATAAGTAGTGCTGTGAAAAACTAATTGAATAATCTCATTAATTGAAATTAATTATAATCAATGTTTTAAATAATTTTATTAAAAATAATTAAGAATCATTTTGAGCAATTGAATTCTCACAGTATGTCAAAAAAGATCTTCATATCTCACTTGAGTTTTTGGATTCTGTGGAAAATAGAAAAACAGTAATCATTTCCAAATTCAAACTTTGAGCCGCTGATACCTATATACTATTTACAGAATTTACGTATTTATACCGGTAGAGAAAACTGATAAGACAGCTGGGATTAGTATGCCAGTTATTTTTTTATGTCCAGATTCATGGATTCGATGGTGGAAAAAGCTGTAACCAACCAGCTGTTATGAACTTATGTGAACCACCCTAAGGCGGCGAGGAGTCCAGCAATCCTCTCTAACATACCAATAATTATCCACCATTTAAGCTGCGAACCCATGTAGGGTAATCAAAGGTGTGGTAGCAAGCATATTCCTAACACTTAGCACGATGCGCCACGCCGCCGTGAGCTATTATTTTTAAAAAGAATCTTTACAATCTGACATTGCTTACCAAATTCAATACACTCGAAGTGAAATAGTTTTTCAAAAAATATTCAATATTGAAGATGTTTACAAATTTACAACTTTCAGCACAGATAACAAAAGGAATTAACAATGCTTTGAATATTGATCCGAAAAACTTAAAATATTTTTATACAGCATATTTATCCTTTTGCTCTGAACAAGACTTTGAACTAGTTTCCGTTGCTTGATGGAGAGCTACTGGGGTTAGGTAAGAACAGAATCTTTCTCATTCCAAATTGCCTATTTAGTTTATTACACCCTTACATAAGGTGGTGGGTATGGGATTTGAGATCAAGATTTTTAATTTGAGATGCCATCATGGTTAAGTTATAACGCTTTAACTACTAGGCCACCCCAAATATAAAATATTCTTTCATTATTGAATAAAGTTTTTACAATAACACAAATCATGTTAGATTTTCGATTATGAAATCGAGGTCAACATTACTCTCTATATAGAATATGTTTGATGAATCGCCAATAAAAATTTACCATGCGTCAAAAGCTTGTCAACAAAAGTAGTTCTGATCAAAACTGATAAATTATGCAGGAGTACAAAAATAAAAGTTGATCAATAAAAAAAATCATTCAAAAAGTTAATTACTATTTTGTGAGTGAGAACCACAGCGTGGAAATCTGATTTTAATCTAAGAAGAGCAATGATTCCCTTGACAATTAAAGGAAAAAAACATATGGAAGGCAAATTTTACATGGACCGTGGATAATATGTCACACTTTAGATTATACCAGATACAAGATTCATCGAATATAATATAAATTAGTGGTTCTCATACAGTGGGCAATTTTTTGAAAGGGCGTGAAGCTGATTAAAATAAAAATATTTATTATATTTGATCTTTGTCTGCCTAATTTGGGATATTTACATTTTGAAACTTTTCATTTATTTCATTATTTACGTTCCCTCAACGTATTTTCAATATTTTTTTTGAATAAAACATACTTTCTCCTTACTATCTGTTATTTGTAGCACATATTTAGCTAGTTAGTTTTGAGGTGGAGCGCGAGACTTGACCCATTCTAAAAAGGGGGCGTGGCTTGAAAAGTTGGAGAACCACTGATATGAATGGTCAGTTGTGTCTCCTCTAAAGCTTACACCAGTAGTTATCAAACTTTCATGATTCATAACCTAATTCGAAAGACTGTTAACAGTTATGAGCCCGTGCTCTATACAAAAAATACCTACCTAGTTTTGTTTTAAAGAGTTTATATTCTATCAGTTTTTTTTGCTTATTTCATTATTTTTGCCACGTTTGACACTAAAAAGCCAAGAAACGAAAGCAAAAGAATAAATGCATTACAGACCATTTACTTTTAATTACTGTAGTCATTGGAATGATACCTGGTGAGGGCTTTTGCTCATGGCCCCTAGAAAACCAATCCGAGGCCACCAAGGAGGGCAGAGGACGGCTCTATTTGAAAACTCTAGTTGATGACGTAAAACAAAAAAAGACAACATGGTAGAATGCACATCGATATATAAAAAGTTTTTACAATTTCGCTCGGAACCTGAAACTGCACAAGCAGCATCGCATGTAAGGAACTACTATACTATAAAAAGAACCAATATCTTTCCGGATCGACATTGCCAACCCAATTTAAAACACACTATGTGGTGGGCATGGGTTTGAACATGAGTATAGAAATTGAAACTAAGTCTTATTTAATTCAAAGATCTCAAAGAGCATAAAATATAGGGCTGTAATTTGTAAAATATCAAAAATAAAAACTTTCCGCAAGAAATAAGGACCGTTTCTGTTGCAAACATATGCCTGTTCTATGATGATACTCACATCAGCCTGTGGCCCTTTGTCTTTTCCCGGACACACAAAGGATACAAACTCATGGCATCGTTTGTGAACGACAAATCTGCACACTGGAAAGATAAAAATGTAGAAAATTATTCCCAACGTTGATGGAAGTGCAAAAAATTTATTATTTAAATAATGGTATTTAAACTTTAGTACAAACTTGCAAACACATTAAAAGTAATTATGATCAGTAGAGATAGGAAAATACTGCAAGAAAGGTGAAAAGCATTTCACTATAAGAATTTTTTATTTCAGGTCTTTTTTTTTCAAAATGTTCAACAGATGTGATCAGTATGTTGTGTAATAGTCATGCCAACAGGCACATTCACACAAATATTGTTTGTTAATTGTCATTGGGAAAAAACAAACAAAGGTGTGATGTACGAAAATGTTCAAACATTTAATGAATAAACATTGTTCTAAGTGTTCTGTGTAACAAAACCAGATCGTCGATCAAATCCACAGGATTGCTAGGACATCAAGAATACACTTTTCCAACAAGGAAAAAAGAGTATACCGAATATCTCAATGGATATGAATCAATAAAACAATGATTCATTTAATATGTAGAAATGGAAGAGGATGCTCTCGTATATATATAGACACAAAAGTCAACTGACTAATATTGTCACCGCTCACCGCAATGTCAGCAAAATTTTCATCTAATCGTTATTAAAAGATTTGTAGAGAATACAGAATGCCGCATGAATGTGTGAATTATAAATAATTATAATATAATATAACTTTTGAATTATGAATGCTAACAAAATTTGAAAATAAAAAGTAATAATCAAATAACGACATCTTCCATTTTCAAATACTGAAAATTCAAATTGCTATTTTAGCCACGAAAAAAAAAGAATTTCACTGACAACA